ATTGTGCAATTGTTTTTGCAAATGTATTACAAATAAAAAACTGAAATACCTTATTCACATAAGTATTCAGACCATTTGCTATGAGACTCGAAATAGAGCTCAGGTGCATCCTGTTTCCATTGATCATCCTTTAATTTTCTCTTGAAATAATGTCTCTGGGCACAGTTTTGAAGAAGAGGATAAGGTCCATATCTGGCTCATTAAGAAAGCTTTAGGCTAACATCATAAAGCAACATTATAGCCTACAGTACAATATCAAACTCCCACACCAGAAAACAAGCCAAAAGGAAAAGGTTTCATCCTTGAGATATTTCTATAACTTGATTGGAGTCCACCTGTGGTAAATTCAATTGATTGGACATGATTTGGAAAGGCACACACCGGTCTATATAAGGTCCCACAGTTGACAGTGCATGGTCAGGCAAAAACCAAGCCATGAGGTCGAAGGAATTGTCTGTAGAGCTCCGACTCAGGATTGTGTCGAGGCACAGATCTGGGGAACGGTACCAACATGTTTATTGAAGGTCCCCAAGAACACATTGGCCTCCATCATTCTTAAATGGAAAAAGTTTGGAACCACCAAGACTCTTCCTAGAGCTGGCCGCCCAGCCAAATTGAGCAATCGGGGGTGAAGGGCCTTGGTCAGGGAGGTGACCAAGAACCCGATGGTCACTCTGACAGTGCTCCAGAGTTCCTCTGTGGAGATGGGAGAACCTTCCAGAAGGACAACCATCTCTGCAGCACTCCACCAATCAGGCTTTTTTGGTAGAGTGGCCAGATGGAAGCCACTCCTCAGTAAAAGGCACATGACAGCCCGCTTGGAGTTTGCCAAAAGGCACCTCCAAACAAGATTCTCTGGTCTGATGAAACCAAGATTGAACTATTTCACCTGAATGCCAAGCGTCACTTCTGTAGGAAACCTGGCACCATCCCTACAGTGAAGCATGGTGGTAGCATCATCATGCTGTTGGGATGTTTTTTAGTGGCAGGGATTGGGAGACTAGTCAGGATCGAGGGAAAGATGAACGGAGCAATGTACAGAGAGATCCTTGATGAAAACCTGCTCCAGAGCGCTCAGGACCTCAGAAGGTTCACCTTCCAACAGGACAATGACCCTAAGCACACAGCCAAGGCAACGCAGGAGTGGCTTTGGGACAAGTCTCTGAATGACCTTGAGTGGCACAGCCAGAGCCCGGACTTGAACCCAATCTAACATCTCTTGAGAGACCTGTAAATAGCTGTGCAGCGACGCTCCACATCCAACCTGACAGAGCTTGAGAGGATCTGCAGAGAAGAATGGGAGAAACTCCCCAAATACAGGTATGCCAAGCTTGTAGCGTCATACCCAAGAAGACTCAAGGCTGTAATCACTGCCAAAGGAGCTTCAAAGTACAGAGTAAAGGGTCTGAATACTTGTGTAAATTTTTTACTTCTTTATAAATGTGCAAAAAAATCTAAAAACCTGTTTTTGCTTTGTCATTATGGGGTATTGTATGTAGATTGATGAGGGGAAAAAAAACAATTTCATCCATTTTAGAATAAGGCTGTAACGTAACAAAATGTGGAAAAAGGGGTCTGAATACTTTCCGAATGCACTGTATATATACTTCCAACCTAGTATAATGCACGTTGCACACAAATATCCCTTGCCAATGCCCACACTGACTGTATCAATGGCAAAACAATACACAATGCACACTCCTCATATCAAGGTTAGTGTTATTCACAGTGCATAATGTGTGTTAACAAAACCAATGCCTGCCAGTATAACTGACATACACTGTATGAATACAATAACCCTCATACACCGTATGAAGGGCTGCAATGAAAGCCTGAGGAAATGGCTGAGGAAGCAGAGACATGGCAGGCTCTGAGGGGCTGGGGTCTGATTACAGGGACTGAGGGGCTGAAGGGTTGTGGTCCTGGAGGGCAGGAGATAATAGAGCCCCTTTGTTTCTAGGAGAGGGGATCGCTATGGGAAGGGCCTTTCTCTGGGTCCTGCTGGGCAGGGGGTGATATGATGATGGGCAGTTGGAGATGGACACCTCATGGTGAGGGAGATACTGCAGTGTTGACCAGGGTTGGGGTCGATGCCATTTCAATTCAGTCAATTTAGGAAGTAAGCTGAAATTCAAAATGTTTTCCTCCTGAATTAACTGGACTGAAATTGAATAAACTCTGGTCTAAGTTTTTGTGTATTCAAATTGGTTTAGGTCTACAGTTTTCATATCTGGAAATTGTTCAGTTTGGCAAAGGCACTAATTCTTGTTCGAAGGAATGCTTACGTCTTTCCTTTTCCTCCCACAGATCTGTAATAAATTATTCTGATCCCTCTGGTACTCAAAGTTTCATAAAGGAGACATGTTGGAAGCATTTTAATCAGATTTCACAGCTCAGTGTGTGTCATCATGGTCTTTCATGTGACTTAAACCTTTTCCTTTTGGCTTGTTTTCTGGTGTGAGAGTTTGATATTGTACTGTAGGCTATAATGTTGCTTTATGATGTTAGCCTAAAGCTTTCTTAATGAGCCAGATATGGACCTTATCCTCTTCTTCAAAGAATGAAGAGCCTATATTTCCCTCCAAAACTGTGCCCAGAGACATTATTTCAAGAGAAAATTCAAAGCCAAAATTCAAAGCCAACCCATAAGAAAAACCATCAATCTTCTCCAGAACATAAATCCAAATCGAACCGAGAAATTCTAAACATTCTCCTCTCTAGATGATCAAGGACATAGATATACTGGCATTGCAATCACCTCGCAGACAAAGTCAGAACCAAGTGAGCATTGCAAGACTATCTTGCTAGGCTAACTACATACATTCACAAAAATGGCCTTTGTATCTACAGAGGTGTTTTCGGGGGAAACTGTGATTTTCAGAGAGGATCATGGATATGGAGGAAGCTGTCACGTTGAGTTACCCTGCCGTCCCAAACACAACTATCCCTATGCTCAGAGGCTAACACCACAGGATGTCTCCTACCCCCCATTGAGTCTATAGGAGAGATGCTCTGTTTGGGTCCATAAGTATTTATGCACAAACCTCGGGGAGAATAAATGTGTAATTATCATGTAACATATGTAAGTATCATGATAATTGTCAGAGAAAAGGCAACAAAATCTCTAAAATATCGCAGTCACAGAGTGTATGTTTGGACCATGAACTTGCATCCTAAAGACTGAAGGATTTACTGTAGATTGTGGAATATTGTCACAAGACACAGCTGTGAAACACTGCTGACCCCTTATGGTCAGTTCAAAGTTCAACACCACATTTATGAAGACTAATCCAAAGAGAGATGGCCTGACGGACACACCAGCAGCGCGACATACATTTACATATTAGTAATTTAGTAGACGCTCTTATCCAGAGTGATTTACAGGAGCAATTAGGATTAACTGTCTTGCTCAACAACAGATTTTTCACCTAGTCGGATCGGGGATTCGATCCAGCGATCTTTTGGTTCCTGCTCCAACTCTATTAACCGCTAGGCTACCTGCCACTACCTAGAGATAATGGGTTTATGTTAGGTGGCATTCAGTGATGTCCTGAAGCTCATTGTATCCTAGAAAATATTGAACACTTTCTCTTAAATGTAAATTGCAGATCTGACCCTATCAATAAAGATAAGAATCAAATATCTGAGGGTGAATCCGAATCAGATGGAGCATGTGATTGAGGAAATATGAGCAAATCATGAATGTAAAAACAATCAATAGGAGAATAATAACAACAATGCACCTCTCTCTAAATTCACCACAAGACCATTTCATTGCTTATTTTCCACACGAAGGCACTTCTGGTGCACCATGCAATTAATCTTGTGACACATTTTCTGTACACATTATTAATGAAATATTTAACAGGAGAATTAATCTTTACACATAATATTATCCTCCAGTAAGTGCTAATTGAATGTGGGTAGAGGTCAGCCCAACCCTCAACCCACTTCATTATCACCACGCTTCTCACGCTCTACCGGGACAAACAAAAAAAAAGGGGAAAGAAGAGAAAGTGCAAATATATAATTTGACAAGGAACTCACATCTCCGGGAAACACTTTCTTTATTGAATAAAGAGTTGTAGCCCTACATTTCTTTCATATAAAGAGGGAGCTGCAGTAGGATCAAAACAAGGCAGTAACAGCCTGTTCAGGAGTCTCTCTCAGAGTTAGGCCAATTGGACACAGGCTGGACAATGTCCATCTGCCTGTAGTCCATTGTTTATAAGACATCTATAGACACAGTCTGACCCTGTACATCTTCTAGCTGTCTCAGCAGACTCTCCTTTCCTACCACGGCATTGAGGCTGACACAGCGAGATGTCAGGCCGGCAGAGGACATTGTGTGTGTGTGTATGTAGGTCACCCAGCGACCTGTGTCATATCGTGTGACAGCCACAACGGTCATTGTCCCTGTGCTGTGGTGCCGGCCGCCCAGCGGGAGGTGGGATAGGGATTGGAGTGGACAGACCACGGTGGGGCAGAGCACAGAGGCCCCCAACACGTCAGCGTGAACTTTCTCATCTCCTCCCTTAACGACTTTGACGTTATCAGGCCAGACAGTGCAATGTCCAGCCACATTACTCTCACTGGTCCTACATTATTCATAATGGCCGGAATGGTGAAGGGATAGGAGGCATTGCTAGGTTTCACAAGACTGGAGAGACAACATGGTGAAGCAGTTTTGAAATATATTCCTTTTCTGACTGACCCTAAACCCCACAATTGTATTATATATTACTGAAAGACATAACTCAACACAATGCAGACTTGCTTACATTTACATTTTAGTTATTTAGCAGACACTCTTATCCAGAGCGACTTACAGGAGCAATTAGGGTTAAGTGCCTTGCTCAAGGGCACGACAGATTTTCACCTAGCCGGCTCGGGGATTGGATCCAGCAACCTTTCCGTTACTGGCCCAACGCTCTTAACCAGCAGATTTTATTTGTGTGACAAATTAACATATTAGGATAAAGATAAATCTTAAAATAAATGCCCTTTATTCAATATTAATATCAAATCTCAATTCAATTTTCTGCAACAATGACCATGTTCTCAAACTGTCTCTCGAATATAAATGGTAAGACAGTGCCCTCTAGTGTTCACTAATGGAAGTACACATCTCTTTCACTACATTCTGCACTTTCACTGACACATTGATACTTTCTTTTCAAAATGATTTATTTAATCAAAAGATAACATAGCATATATCATATGAATACTTGCATTGCTTTGCACTCACTCACTCACTCTCCAGGCCTCCTAAAGGCTTTCTATCAGTATGGGATAGAGAGAGGATCTTATCGGTTGTAAGGATGCATTGAGGAGGCAGCCTTGATGTTTGTCTTGATGTTGCTTGGCATTTTCCCTGAAAAATAAAATGTAAAAAATCTGTCAGTTACAGAGCAGTCATTTGCTCAATACCTTAAGGGCCGGGTCCATTTAAACTTATTTTTTGTCCAGGACTAGGTATAATCTGTGTCTGAGAAACCAACTGCCCTTCTTATTCTGGTCTATAGAACCTTGAGTTATGGCCTTCAAGTGAATAAAACACTTAAAAATGTAGCAAATCAAGACTCAGGTCTATGTCATTCAGGATCTTCATACCTGGCTGTCCCTGCTGCTGAGGAGCACCAGGCCCCATGCCTTGCTGCTGGCCTGAACCCCCACCGATGGTGACCTGCTGTAAGGTGGGACCTCCGCTCATCATGGGCCCTTGTCCTGTGTGTCCCGGGGCCACAGGCCCAGGGGGCCTGCACTTCGAAAGCCCCTTCCCAAATCCCACCGCTGCTACGAGTGCATTGGTGTCAGCAGGGTTGAAAGATGGTTTGGTCTGCCGTATAGCTAAAAACAGAGAGCATAAGTATAAACTCCATAACATGGATTTTAGGTTAGACCATTTTTATTTTTTATTTTTTTTATTTAACCAGGTAAGCCAGTTGAGAACAAGTTCTCATTTACAACTGCGACCTGGCCAAGATAAAGCAAAGCAGTGAGATAAAAACAACAACACAGAGTTACATATGGGGTAAACAAAACATAAAGTCAAAAATACAACAGAAAATATATATACAGTGTGTGCAAATGTAGTAAGTTATGGAGGTAAGGCAATAAATAGGCCATAGTGCAAAATAGTTAAAATTTCGTATTGACACTGAAATGATAGATGTGCAAAAGATGATGTGCAAATAGAGATACTGGGGTGCAAATTAGCAAAATAAATAACAATATGGGGATGAGGTAGTTGGGTGGGCTAATTTCAGAAAGGCTGTGTACAGGTGCAGTGATTGGTAAGCTGCTCTGACAACTGACGCTTAAAGTTAGTGAGGGAGATAAGAGTCTCCAGCTTCCGAGATTTTTGCAGTTCGTTCCAGTCATTGGCAGCAGAGAACTGGAAGGAATGGCGGCCAAAGGAGGTGTTGGCTTTGGGGATGACCAGTGAGATATACCTGCTGGAGCGCAGACTACGGGGTGGGTGTTGCTATGGTGACCAGTGAGCTAAGATAAGACGGGGATTTGCCTAGCAGTGATTTATAGATGACCTGGAGCCAGTGGGTTTGGCGACGAATATGTAGTGAGGGCCAGCCAACAAGAGCGTACAGGTCACAATGGTGGGTAGTATATGGGGCTTTGGTGACAAAACGGATGGCACTGTGATAGACTACATCCAATTTGCAGAGTAGAGTGTTGGAGGCTATTTTGTAAATGACATCGCCGAAGTCAAGGATCGGTAGGATAGTCAGTTTTACGAGGGCATGTTTGGCAGCATGAGTGAAGGAGGCTTTGTTGCGAAATAGGAAGCCGATTCTAGATTTAACTTTTGATTGGAGATGCTTAATGTGAGTCTGGAAGGAGAGTTTACAGTCTAACCAAACACCTAGGTATTTGTAGTTGTCCACATACTCTAGGTCAGACCCGCCGAGAGTAGTGATTCTAGTCGGGTGGGCGGGTGCAAGCAGCGTTCGGTTGAAGAGCATGCATTTAGTTTTACTAGTGTTTAAGAGCAGTTGGAGGCTATGGAAGGAGTGTTGTATGGCGTTGAAGCTCGTTTGGAGGTTTGTTAACACAGTGTCCAATGAAGGGCCAGATGTATACAAAATAGTGTCGTCCGCATAGAGGTGGATCCGAGCGTCACCAGCAGCAAGAGCGACATCATTGATATACACAGAGAAGAGTCTGCCCGAGAATTGAACCCTGTGGCACCCCCATAGAGACGGCCAGAGGTCCAGACAACAGGCCCTCCGATTTGACACATTGAACTCTATCTGAGAAGTAGTTGGTGAACCAGGCGAGGCAGTCATTAGAGAAACCAAGGCTATTTAGTCTGCCAATAAGAATGCGGTGGTTGACAGAGTCGAAAGCCTTGGCCAGGTCGATGAAGACGGCTGCGCAGTACTGTCTTTTATCGATCGCGTTTATAATATCGTTTAGGACCTTGAGCGTGGCTGAGGTGCACCCATGACCAGCTCGGAAACCGGATTGCATAGCGGAGAAGGTACGGTGGGATTCGAAATGGTCGGTGATCTGTTTGTTAACTTGGCTTTCAAATACTTTCGAAAGGCAGGGCAGGATGGATATAGGTCTATAACAGTTTGGATCTAGAGTGTCACCCCCTTTGAAGAGGGGGATGACCATCTGTACATCTTGAGTACATAAGCATCAATAAACTCCATATCAGTTCTTAGGTTAGCTTATCTGTAAATGTTCTCAAGTAAAAAGGGAATCTTGGTTCAATCAGTGTACCTGCACTGTCCGCATCCCTGTCATCGCGAGGATTGTTCAGTTTCTCCAGTAGATTTGAACATAGCTTGTTCAGTGTCTGGATTTGTTTCTGTTGGGAGAAAAACAAGGCATTATTTTGTTACTCATTGCTTCCAACTTGAGATGTGGGATAGATAGACTCCAATGTACATGGGTGCATTACATGACAAGCACCATTTTACTTGGAATTGTGTCTTCCCACCACACACCATGGGGTCGTGTTCATTAGGGCATATGTAACAAACTGTTATCGTACCGTAAACTCACTCCACAGCTTGAAATGTATGCACAAGCGATCGCAAACAGTCACGTGTGTTTGAGAGGCAGATGATCTTGGTATGAGCCGTTGTACGGCCATTGTGCCGAGATAGAGAGGTAGCTTACCTGCTAAGCAAGCACAGTGACGTCCGTCACGCTGGCATGAAGTGGCGTCAATATTTTATTATCCTTTCCAGCAACGGGTGGATGTATAATTTCACTCAGTAGTATGAAAATGATACAGGTTTCCTTATGTGAACCAGGGAGCTGCTTTCCTCTCAGACTGCTGCCATAAAGAACCTGTATGAATAGATGAAGACCAAGTCGGTTTACCTGTGCCACCTCAGGTCCTATCCGGGCAGCTTCCGCACTCAGCTGTTTCTCCTGCTCCTCCACCTCAGGATCAGGCTTGGTGCGCAGGTGATCCGGCACAATCTCATGGCTGAACACAGGCACGCGTTGCTCTGTCAGTTTCTGGAGAGTGGGGGCAGTGTGTATGGAGGTAAGCAAAGAATAGGGTATGTGTGTCTGTAAAACTATCCTCCTCTAGCCTGGTTAAACCAGACTCAAGGCTGTTCTCACTGTTGTTTCACTGGCTGAGTACAGCATTCAGTCTGGTTTACCCAGGCTAATCCTCATCCACGGAAAAGATACTCACAGCTAATTCCTCATCCCTGTCTGGAGACAACAGCAGGGGGATGATGATCTGCTGGCGGAAAGATGGCGTCTTCTCATTCCTCAACAGTTTATTGATGGTGTTCAACTGACCGGACAAGAGGGCAAAGTTGTCCAACACAGAGGGCCTGTTGTCCAATTACAGAGAGACAACAACTTCATGAATTAACTGGTAGAGTACATTTGTTTTCATACAATGATATTAATTCATCCAAATAGTTAACCAAGTCTCGCAGATTGCATTCAGTGATGCCATCCAAAAGCAACACTGGGACCTAGCTAGCTTACTCCAAACGTATCATATGCAAAGTGGTGTAAGCCGAATACGAACTAACGTTAGTGTTTAGCTCGTCACTTACTAGTTAGCAGATTGTAACGGGCTAATGTGATGCTGTATCAGCCAGCTGGGAACAGAGTGGCTAATGGTCTGACTAGGCGAGATTTTTAATAGCTAGCTAAGTTAGACACTTACCATGTCAGTCGTTCATACTCGTTTTCCAACTTGTAGATGAAACTGTGAAGAGCATTTTTGAGATGAGCTACGTGGGAAATAAGCGATTCCACGGATGCTTCCAGCAATTTTTCTTCCCGTTGCTTGACAGAAACAAAAAAATATAGATTTGATTAACGCGTTAACTTAGCTACCTTTGGCTGTTAGCGAGTCGCTAGCAGTGACCTGGGGGCAACGTTAGCTGAATACAAATAATTATTTCATCCGCTATGGTGAACTGTATTTAATTTAAGACAATCGACTGGTTGAGAATTTTACATTTTGTAGAAAAGCCACCTTACCTGCATTTTTATTATGGTTGCGAACCTGCCAGCTAGCGAAATAAATCTTTACCGGAAGTAAACAATGAGTGCAACAGTGGGTGTGCTCCGGTCAGAATAATTTTGCTTTATGTTTCACACCTTTCTAATCAGACAGATAATCGTGTCTTACTTTGAGTCATTATGCCGTAAAATTCTCAATCAAATATTTTATATCACTTATCTGCACTCTTTTTCAGAACGCTGGCATATCGGAAACAAAAATAGAACTACAAAACCGTCGATGGCCTAGCTGTTGTACTCCGGTGGAGAGACGTAGACATCCAGGTCACGTGTGGCTTATAACCAAAGAAACAAAATACAACAACGACTAGTCAGCAGTCGTGCATGAAAATGAACAAGTCGTTATATGTCAGCCGGGGCCTGCAGATACCCACGGACTTTCATAGAACCCGCTAACGTTAGTTATGCCATACAAGGCATGGCAGACAGACAGGACAATGAGGTAATTAACTGAGGTTCATGTTTTTGTAGCCCTGAGCTGTCACTAGTGCTAGCTTGTTATGCTAACTAACTAACTTCTCCAATTAATTTCAAGTAATTTGAGCTGGGGGTGTTGCAAAGCGCTCGCGCATGAGCTGACCTAGCAGACTATGGTGAAGGAAGTGGAGTTTAGTCCGCTAGAAGTGAGCATACCAAAGATAATGGACACACATATGCTGTCGAATACAGGGGACAATTACAACAATTAGCTAGCCATATCAAACATATCTTATGCATTAGCTTGACAGGCCATATTAAGCTATAGACAGGGTGTTTTGCCAGTGTCATGCCGTGCGTCACATGAGTCGAATTGGAATCAGATTGCTGCTCATTCAGCTTTGCAGTGATGTCACCCACCGTATGGCATATGATACTGTCAGGAAGACTTCACACCCAGAATATGCAAATTGATTTAATGTAGTATTGTAGTTTAATGTGATTAAGACACGTTATAACAGAAGTCAAGTCTCTTCTTGCTAATATGTAGGCTATTAAACCACAATACTGCACAAAGGGCACAGAGTCCATCCCTTGCAGACGAGATACATACATGTCCATTTTAGTCATTTAGCAGACGCTCTTATACAGAGCGACTTACAGTTAGTGAGTGCATACATTTTCATACCCCCGTGGGAAACGAACCCACAAACCTGGCGTTGCAAGCGCCATGCTCTACCAACTGAGCTACAGGGGACTACCTGTCTGTAGTCAGAACTGTCTGTGACCTCTGTACTCATTAACACAATTTATTATTTTTGTTCATGAGAATGTCAAAGTTCATCAATATGTTAGCAGAAGCAGGGGCCAGGACAACATCCTGACTCTTCTCAAAGGGCTCTGTCATTTTTTCACAAGACAACACCATATTTTTTTTCTTCTTCTTCTTCTTCTTCTTCTTCTTCTTCTTCTTCTTCTTCTTCTTCTTCTTCTTCTTCTTCTTCTTCTTCTTCTTCTTCTTCTTCTTCTTCTTCTTCTTCTTCTTCAGGTGGAGGAGGCAGACCAGGTGTACCTGCTGATGAAGGAGGAGTACCGTATCTCACGCAACGTACGTCTGGCCTGGTTCCTGGGAAAGCTCAACCAGGTCATCTGGCCTGCCCCAAAGTCTGAACTGGTGGGTTAACTAGCTCTACTGGAGGAGATGTAGCTAGACTGGTCCTAGATCTGTCGTGCTGTCGCTCCAATGACAACGACTATAAGTGTTGGCAAAACAGCGTAAACAGATCTGGGACCAGACCAGAGGAGATGGTCTAATCACAATAATATGCCAATATTATGATGTTTCTGCATGGGCCACAGCACATATGGGCCTTTCTATAAATAATGGAGCCAATGTGTGACATTGGGATTAAAGTTTCAAAATGGTTTGAAACAAACTAACAAAATATTTGTATGCAGTTCCACATGTGTACTTAGAGGAATATATATATATTGGCCCATAACTCCACCTATACAACAACGTAAGCCTAGGACTATACACCCTTTAAGCAGGGTTCATACAGACATTGGGAAGTCAAATTCAAGGCATTTCAGGGACTTTTTCAATCACTTAATTGTAATTTTCAAGGACTCAATGTTATACAATTGTATAATTTATATAATTGTACATAATGGGGCCTAATATAGTAAAAAAAAGTAGGCCTTTACCACTTTAAGAATAATACATATTTTAGGCCTTGCCAATGCATTGATATTCAAATTATTATTACATTCTACAATACTGTATGTGAGAATAATGTGGACTTGCCTGACTAAATAGATTGGATGCATGCATGGTGATTCTTCTGTAGCCTATGTGGCAGACACAGGCACACATAATAAAGCCATGAATAGCGGTAGCATTAATCTCACCATTTGAATCACACCATTGCTGTTTTTATAATCAAAAGCAACCAAAAAACAGGTTTCTTTTGTAATGGATGGTTTGTATGGAAAGCCAAGTTGAAGCAAGCATTAGATATATTGTCGTCCTCATAATAACCACATGTGGTTTTACTGCAACAGAGTAGCGGAGGGAAACAAACAAAAGTGGCCACATCTCTCACAAAAACAGATAAAAAATGAAATCACAGATAATTACAAGGGAGCAGGAGAACTTATAAATTGCTTACAATAATTACAAGGACTTTTCAAGTACCAAATTGAGTAAATGTCTGATTTTCAATGTAAGCCTATACCAGTACTTGAATTTCTGAGCTCCATATTCAAGTTCAAGTAGGCTACTTCAAGCCCCGTGTATTGTTTAAAATTGCAGGTGTAACCAGGGGTGAAAGTAAGGTGGTACGGTCCAGTACAGCGTCCCTGCAAAATACAGTGCCTTGCAAAAGTGTTCATCCCCCTTAGCGTTTTTCCTATTTTGTTGCATTACAACATGTAATTTGAATTGATTTTTATTTGGATTTCATGTAATGGACATACACAAAATAGTCCAAATTGGTGAAGTGAAATGAAAAAAATAACTTGCTTCAAAAAATTCTAAAAAATAAATAATGGAAAAGTGGTGCGTGCATATGTATTCACCCCCTTTGCTATGAAGCCCCTAAATAATATCTGATGCAACCAATTACCTTCAGAAGTCACATAATTAGTTAGATTGCACACAGGTGGACTTTATTTAAGTGTCACATGATCTGTCACATGATCTCAGTATATATACACCTATTCTGAAAGGCCCCAGAGACTGCAAGACCGCTAAGCAAGGGGCACCACCAGACCAAAGAGCTCTCCAAACAGGTCAGGGACAAAGTTGTGGAGAAGTACAAATCAGGGTTGGGTTATAAAAAAAGATCAGAAACTTTGAACATCCCACAGAGCACCATTAAATCCATTATAAAATTTTTTGAAAGAATATGGCACCACAACAAACCTGCCAAGAGAGGGCCGCCCACCAAAACTCACAGACCAGGCAAGGAGGGCATTAATCAGAGAGGCAACAAAGAGACCAAAGATAACCCTGAAGGAGCTGCAAAGCTCCACAGCGGAGATTGGAGTATCTGTCCATAGGACCACTTTAAGCCGTACGCTCCACAGAGCTGGGCTTTACGGAAGAGTGGCCAGAAAAAAGCCATTGTTTAAAGAAAAAAATAAGCAAATACGTTTGGTGTTCGCCAAAAGGCATGTGGGAGACTCCCCAAACATATGGAAGAAGGTACTCTGGTCAGATGAGACTAAAATTGAGCTTTTTGGCCATCAAGGAAAACACTATGTCTGGCGCAAACCAAACACCTCTCATCACCCCGAGAACACCATCCCCACAGTGAAGCATGGTGGTGGAAGCATCATGGGGGGTGAATAGTTATGAACGCTCAAGTTTTCAGTTTTTTTTTGTCTCATTTCTTGTTTGTTTCACACACAAAAAATATTTTGCATCTTCAAAGTGGTAGGCATGTTGTGTAAATCAAATGATACAAACCCACCAAAAATCAATTTTAATTCCAGGTTGTAAGGCAACAAAATAGGAAAAATGCCAAGGGGGGTGAATACTTTCGCAAAACACTGTAGACTATTGCAGCATAGATACAGGAGGCTGAGACAGGGGAGATCGGGGGAAACTGTGGCCCCGTCCGACGATACCCCCGTACAGGGCCAACCATGCAGATATAACCCCACCCACTTGGCCAAAGCACAGCCCTCACACCACTCGAGGGATATCAACAGACCACCAACTTACTACCCTGAGACAAGGCGGAGGATAGCCCACGAAGATCTCCATAAAAATGTAGCTCTATAGGAGAAAGCCCTGCCTCCAGGTGTTTGCTTATAAATTCTAGGAACAATAAGGAGGCCTGAGTCTTGTGACCGTAGCGGACGGGACAACGATCCTAAGCACACTGCCTAGACAATGCAGGAGTGGCTTCGGGACAAGTCTCTGAATGTTCTTGAGTGGCCCAGCCAGAGCCCGGACTTGAGCCAGAGCCCGGACTTGAACCCGATCTAACATCTCTGGAGAGACCTGAAACTGGCTGTGCAGCGATGCTCCCCATCCAACCTGACAGAGCTTGAGAGGATATGCAGAGAAGAATGGGAGAAACTCCCCAAATACAGGTGTGCCAAGCTTGTAGCATCATACCCAAGAAGACTTGAGGCTGTAATCACTGCCAAAGGTGCTTCAACAAAGTACTGAGTAAAGGGTCTGTAAATGTGATATTTTAGTTTTTTATTTAAAATACATTTGCAAACATTTAGAAAAACCTGTTTTTTGGGGGGTATTGTGTGTAGATTAATGACGGGGAAAAAAACAATTTCATTCATTTTAGAATAAGGCTGTAACATAATAAAATGTGGAAATAGTCAAGGGGTCTGAATACTTTCCGAATGCACTGTATGTACGGCAGGACTAAATCGGAGAGATGGGTAGGAGCATGTCCATCTAATGCTTTGTAGGTTAGCAGTAAAACCTTGGAATCAGCCCTAACCTTAACAGCAAGCCATTGTAGAGAGGCTAGCACTGGAGTAATATGATCAAACCTTTTGGTTCTAGTCAAGATTCTAGCAGCTGTATTTAGCACTAGCTGAAGTTTATTTAGTGCTTTATCTGGGTAGCTGGAGAATAGAGCATTGCAGTAGGCTAATCTTGAAGTGACAAAAGCATGGATTATCTTTTCTGCATAATTTTTGGTCAAAAAGTTTCAGATTTTTGCAATGTTACGAAGATGAAGAGGCGACTCCGGGATGCTGACCTTCTAGACAGAGTTGGCCAATAAAAATTAAATATTAAGATGGGCAGTCTGAGATATGGCTTTATCTTTGCAACATCCCGGAATCGCCTCTTCACTGTTGACGTTGAGACTGGTGTTTTGTGGGTACTATTTAATGAAGCTGCCAGCATGGAATAGCCTTCATTTCTCAGAACAAGAATAGACTGACGAGTTTCAGGAGAAAGTTTATTGTTTCTGGCCATTTTGAGCCTGTAATCGAACCCACAATTGCTGATGCTCCAGATACTCAACTAGTCTCAATAAGGCCAGTTTTATTGCTTTTTTAATCAGCACAACAGTTTTCAGCTGTGCTAACATAATTGCAAAAGGGTTTTCTGATGATCAATTAGCCTTTTAAATTGATAAACTTGGTTTAGCAAACTCAACGTGCCATTGGAACACAGGACTGATGGTTGCTGATAATGGGCCTCTGTACGTCTATGTAGATATTCCATAAAAAATCAGCCGTTTCCAGCTACAATAGCCATTTACAACATTAACAATGTCTACACTGTATTTCTGATCAATTTGATGTTATTTTAATGGACAAAAAAATTGCTTTTCTTTCAAAAACAAGGACATTTCAAAGTGACCCCTAACTTTTGAACAGTAGTGTACATTTTGGGGGATTTGTGTGCCCATGAAAACAGTTTTCACCCCGTAACATAAGGACACATGAAATGTTACGTAGTTACACTGTGTTTCGGAGATCTCTATACAAAAAAATGCCCGACAGCTAGATCCAGGATTCTTACAGGGTTCAAATTCAATGTCTAATTTAACTGATTAATGCTTAATAAATTATATAAGGACAATTTACACTGACATAAATGCAAGGACAGAAAGGTAATGTTTTATGTCACAAGATTTTGGACAAATCCGTCAACACACCAACCATGATAAAGTTTCGTGAATTTTATTGAATATAGCTATGTTCCCCCCTTATATGTTAATGTAATGACATGAAAGAAATTAGCAGATTATTATCAATGACTTATCAACAGCTGTAACAAGTTGTCCAGCGTAGGAAATCCTCACTGGTACCGTAGTTTATAAAAAAGACCAACATACTGAATTTATGTGTCACTGGCAATGCTGACACATTTTTATATTGCTTTGGATGAAACATAGCATCTGTTAAATTACCATATTTCCATGAGGTTGTTGATGATGATTGTTGTGGTTCCACCTCCTGTGTAGCTGAACTCTGAGAATGAGCTGGACCTGCTCAGCATCCTTCCCAAGGGATGGCAGACAGATTTCTCCCCCTCCACCCTGCCGTACCTGCTAGTACCCTCCACCCGGGTCACCTTCCTGGCCCGCAGGTACCGCTTCATCATCGAGCTGGACCTCAGCCCCTCCACTGGCATTGTGGTAAGTAAAGAGGCTTCTTCAGCAAGATATCTAGTACTACACAATATACCTGGCAAAACAGTATGACCACCAGTTCAATGCACTGACTGTAAGTAGCTCTGGATAAGAGCGTCTGCTAAATGACCAAAATGTAAACATATAAATATAGCACCAGACCCAAATGATAATGTGTGCTTTATAAGTATTTAACAAGCATCTATGAAGGAATACTTTTATTTTGTGGATACTTTTTTTATGGCAATAATTAGGCTAACAACAAGAGGAAGTTTACAATCCCTTGTGAAAATCATGCGCTACATATCACACTTTCATAACACTGCTATTTTGGTAGAGTGTCAAGAGCAGACCCTACCAAGCTACTAATTGTTCTTCCTCCTGATGTGTTGTTTGATGTGTTAACTATATCAGGTTAGTTTTGCCCATAGAAATCAAATTACCATAACAGACATCCCCAATGTTCAGTGATGGGTGGACCGGCGGCCATATTGAGTGTGCTCATGAGTGTTCCAGTTAAACTTGGGCTTCTTCCCTTCTAGGAATTCCATGTACACTACCAGTCAAAAGTTTGGACACACCTACTCATTCAAGGGATTTTCTTTATTTTAACTATTTTTTACATTGTAGAATAATAATGAAGATATCAAAACTATGAAATAACACACATGGAATCATGTAGTAAACAAAAAAGTGTTAAACAAATAAAAGTATATTTTATATTAGAGAATCTTCAAATAGCCACCCTTTGCCTTGATAACAGCTTTGCACACTTTTGGCATTCGCTCAACCAGCTTCACCTGGAATGCTTTTCCAACAGTCTTGAAGGAGTTCCCACATATGCTGAGCACTTGTTGGCTGCTTTTCCTTCACTCTGCGGTCCGACTCATCCCAAACCATCTCAATTGGGTTGATGTCGGGGGATTGTGGAGGCCAGGTCATCTGATGCAGCACTCATCACTCTCCTTCTTGGTCAAATAGCCCTTACATAGCCTGGTGGTGTGTTGGGTCATTGTCCTGTTGAAAAACAAATGATAGTCCCACTAAGCCCAAACCAGATGGTATGGCGTATCGCTGTAGAATGCTGTGGTAGCCATGCTGGTTAAGTGTGCCTTGAATTCTAAACAAACCACAGACAGTGTCACCAGTAAAGCACCCCCACACCATAACACCTCCTCTTCCATGCTTTATGGTGGGAAATACACATGCAGAGATCATCCGTTCACCCACACCGCGTCTCACAAAGACACGGCGGTTGGAACCTAAAATCTCCAATTTGGACTCCAGACCAAAGGACAGATTTCCACCGGTGTAATGTCTATTGCTCGTGTTTCTTGGCCCAAGCAGGTCTCTTCATCTTATTGGTGTCCTTTAGTAGTGGTTTCTTTGCAGCAATCCGACCATGAAGGCCTGATTCACACAGTCACCTCTGAAAAGTTCATGTTGAGATGTCTGTTACTTGAACTCTGTGAAGCATTTATTTGGGCTGCAATTTCTGAGGCTGGTAACTCTAATGAATTTATCCTCTGCAGCAGAGGTAACTCTGCGTCTTCCATTCTTGTCGCGGTCCTCATGAGAGCCAGTTTTTGATTTGTTTAACACTTTTTTGGTTACTACATGATTCCATATGTGTTATTTCATAGTTTTGATGACTTCACTATTATTCTACAATGTAGAAAATAGTAAAAATAAACAAAAACCCTGGAATGAGTAGGTGTGTCCAAACTATTAACTGGTACTGTATATGTTTTCCCTTTGTTCACAGGATGACAGCACAGGCAAGATGATATTTGACGAGGTGTTCCATGCCTTGTCACGATGCTTAGCTGGACTTGTCCGACGCTTCAAAGTTCCAGGAACAGATCTATTATTTCAGTCGGAAATCTTCGTCACTATCCTGGCTTATTCCTCCATCATAGGGCTCAATACACACCAGGTGATCATAATAATAGTATTCATATGAATATTAATGTATTTCTTGTTTAGTTAAGCGTCTTTGTCAAGCTTCTTATAATCGTATGTAGTGGATCTTTCTTAGACCATTCTTGTTGATTGAATGATGGAAAGACGAGGCCGTTCTGATTCATGTGCAGTAGACAGTGCCACCACATTGATGGTTGGACACTCACTGAGCAGTTGAAACAATAACAAAGCATTCTCCATGTTTCTGTAAAAAAGCTGAGGGGTGTGGCTGGAGAAATGCAACCACTCTCAAATTCATAGATAGCACTATGGATGCAAAGACTGACCATCCATGTTTTCAGGCTATATAGTGTTTGTTTACATTAACTTATTTTGATGGGGTATGACAGTTGAATTAAGCTCATGAGGCATGTATAAGTTATATTCTTCAAGAATCAATGGGTACATATAATTAATTTATAAGTCAAAAAATTGATGTAGCAACTACAGATTGTCCCTTTAAGGGAAAGGAAACTGTACATTCTAATTATATGTGCCTCTAATGAGACTGTGTTGTGTCTGCTCTGCTGTGTAGGTGTTGGTGCAGGGTTGGTTTCCTACACATGGACAGTTTCCTACACCAGATCTATCAGCAGCTTCGGGCAGTGGAGAACAACATAGCAGAGGTCCTACAACAACAGCACGGCCATCTTCAACGGCAACATGACCTTCTGCAGCAGCACGGCCATCTTCAGCAGCCCGACCAGGCAAGAGAACGCATGCTTATTACAGTACTGTGACCATCACTTGAACTAGTGACAACCTTTAGGTCATCTGTCAATCTTTTTGCACTTGACCAGAACCATACAGTGCCTTCAGAAAGTATTCACACCCCATGACTTATTCCACATTTTGTTGTGTTACAGCCTGAATTTAAAATCGATTACATATGGGATAAACAAAATGTACAGTCAATAACACAATAGAAAATCTATATACAGTGTGTGGAAATGTAGTAAGTTATGGAGGTAAGGCAATAAATAGGCCATAGTGCAAAATAATTACAATTTAGTATTAACACTGGAGTGATAGATGTGCAGAAGATGATGAGCAAATAGAGATACTAGGGTGCAAATGAGCAAAATAAATAACAATATGGGGATGAGGTAGTTGGGTGGGCTAATTACAGATGGGCTGTGTACAGGTGCAGTGATCGGTAAGCTAATTCGTTTTCAAAAGTAATTGTGGAAGGTTTTGAAAACGAATTAATAAAGTATTCAACTCCTTTGTCATTGCAAGCCTAAATAAGTTCAGGAGTAAAAATGTGCTTAAAAAGTCACTTAAGTTGCATGGACTCACTCTGTGTGCAATAATAGTGTTCAACATTATTTTTTAATGACTACCTCATCTCTGTACCCCAAACATACAATTATCTGTAAGGTCCCTCAGTCGAGCAGTGAATTTTTCAAACACAGATTCAACCACAAGGACCAGGGAGGCTTTCTAATGACTCGCAAAGAAGGGCACCTATTGGTAGATGGGTAAAAAAAAAAGCAGACATTGAAAATCCCTTTGAACATGGTGAAGTTATTAATTACACTTTGGATGGTGTATCAATACACCCAGTCACTACAAAGATACAGGCGTCCTTCCTAACTCATTTGCCGGAGAGGAAGGAAACCGCTCAGGGATTTCACAATGAGGCCAATGGTGTCTTTAAAACAGTTACATAATTTAATGGCTGTGATAGGAGAAAGCTGAGGATGGATCAACAACATTGTAGTTTACTCCACAATACTAACCTAATTGACAGAGTGAAAAGAAGGAAGCCTGTACAGCATCCTGTTTGCAACAAGGCACTAAAGTAATACTGCAAAAAATGTGGCAAAGCAATTCACTTTTTGTCCTGAATACAAAGTGTTATTATTGGGGCAAATGCAATAAAACACATTACTGAGTACCACTTTCCATATTTTCCATATAGTGGTGGCTGCATCATGTTATGGGATTGCTTTTAATGGTTAAGGACTGGGCAGTTTTTCAGGGTAAAAAATTAATGAAATGGAGCTAAGCACAGGGAAAATCCTAGAGGAAAACCTGGTTCAGTCTGCTTTCCACCAGACACTGGGAGATGAATTCACCTTTTACCAGGACAATAACCTAAAACACAAGGCCAAATCTGCACTGGAGTTGTTTACCAAGAAGCCGAGTTTCAGTTTTGACTTAAATCTACTTGAAAATCTATGGCAAGACATGGGAATGGTTGTATAGCAATGATCAATACTTTTTACATAATAATGGGCAAATATTGCACAATCCAGGTTAGAGACTTACCCAGAAAGATTCACAGCTGTAATCGCTGGCAAAAGTGCTTCTACAATGTATTTGACTCAACATTTTCTCCCAAATTTTGTAATATCCAATTGATAGTTACAGTCTTGTCCCATCGCTGCAACTCCCGTACGGATTCGGGAGAGGCGACGGTCGAGAGCCATGCGTCCTCTGAAACATGACCCTGCCAAGCCGCACTGCTTCTTGACACATTGCTCGCTTAACCCGGAAGCCAGCCGCACCAATGACCAAAGTCAGCGTGCATGCGCCCGGTCCGCCACAAGGAGTCGCTAGAGCGCAATGGGACAAGGACAAACTAGCAAAAGAGTGGGTGGAATGTACAGTAACATCCTCAGAAAAAAGGTTTTTGAACATGCCCGAACCAAGGCGCATTTGGTGGCAGCAAGCCTTGTAGACAAGGCTAAAGAGGAAACCCAGGTTATAGTTAACACTCAAAATGAAAAAATAGAATCTACAGACAGTCTTCCCAACAGCCTTCGAAGGAGGCTAAACATCACAGCCACAGGCCCAAGAAATTGACTGTCAGGAGTTAATTGGGTTTTGACATGGGAAAGTAAATTTGGGAGGGTTTTGAAAACTAAGGTAGGATTTTTAATTTTATTTAAAGTTAATGTGCAAATATGTGGCGTCATATTATTATAACAGTATCTTCCAAAAAATTGGTTTTTTTAAAGCGAATTTATCTTCCTTTTTGAAAAATCCGGGGCCCGCAGGTACCGCTTCATATCGAGCTGGACCTCAGCCCCTCCATGGCATTGTGGTAAGTAAAGAGGCTTCTCAGCAAGATATCTAGTACTACACAATATACTGGCAAAACAGTATGACCACAGTTCAATGCATGACTGTAAGTAGACTCTGATAAGAGCGTTGCTAAATGACCAAAATGTAAACATTAAATATAGCACCAGACCCAAATGATAATGTTGCTTTATAAGTATTTAACAAGCATCTATGAAGGAATACTTTTATTTTGTGGATACTTTTTTTTATGGCAATAATTAGGCTAACAACAAGAGGAAGTTTACAATCCTTGTGAAAATCATGCGCTACATATCACACTTCATAACACTGCATTTTGGTAGAGTGTCAAGAGCAGACCCTACCAAGCTACTAATTGTTCTTCCTCCTGATGTGTTGTTTGATGTGTTAACTATATCAGGTTAGTTTTGCCCATAGAAATCAAATTACCATAACAGACATCCCCAATGTTCAGGATGGGTGGGACCGGCGGCCATATTGAGTGTGCTCATGAGTGTTCAGTTAAAACTTGGGCTTCTTCCCTTCTAGGAATTCCATGTACACTAACAGTCAAAAGTTTGGACACACCTACTCATTCAAGGGATTTCTTTATTTTAAACTATTTTTTACATTGTAGAATAATAATGAAGATATCAAAACTATGAAATAACACACATGGAATCATGTAGTAAACAAAAAAGTGTTAAACAAATAAAAGTATATTTATATTAGAGAATCTTCAAATAGCCACCCTTTGCCTTGATAACAGCTTTGCACACTTTTGGCATTCGCTCAACAGCTTCACCTGGAATGCTTTTCCAACAGTCTTGAGGAGTTCCCACATATGCTGAGCACTTGTTGGCTGCTTTTCCTTCACTCTGCGGTCCGACTCATCCCAAACATCTCAATTGGGTTGATGTCGGGGGATTGTGGAGGCCAGGTCATCTGATGCAGCACTCATCACTCTCCTTCTGGTCAAATAGCCCTTACATAGCCTGGTGGTGGGTTGGGTCATTGTCCTGTTGAAAAAACAAATGATAGTCCCACTAAGCCCAAACCAGATGGTATGGCGTATCGCTGTAGAATGCTGTGGTAGCCATGCTGGTTAAGTGTGCCTTGAATTCTAAACAAACCACAGACAGTGGTCACCAGTAAAGCACCCCCACACCATAACACCTCCTCTTCCATGCTTTATGGTGGGAAATACACATGCAGAGATCATCCGTTCACCCCACCGCGTCTCACAAAGACACGGCGGTTGGAACCTAAAATCTCCAATTTGGACTCCAGACCAAAGGACAGATTTCCACCGGTTTGTATGTAATGTCTATTGCTCGTGTTCTTGGCCAAGCAGGTCTCTTCATCTTATTGGTGTCCTTTAGTAGTGGTTTCTTTGCAGCAATCCGACCATGAAGGCCTGATTCACACAGTCACCTCTGAAAAGTTCATGTTGAGATGTCTGTTACTTGAACTCTGTGAAGCATTTATTTGGGCTGCAATTTCTGAGGCTGGTAACTCTAATGAATTTATCCTCTGCAGCAGAGGTAACTCTGCGTCTTCCATTCTTGTCGCGGTCCTCATGAGAGCCAGTTTTGATTTGTTAACACTTTTTGGTTGACTACATGATTCCATATGTGTTATTCATAGTTTGATGACTTCACTATTATTCTACAATGTGAGAAAATAGTAAAATAAACAAAAACCCTGGAATGAGTAGGTGTGTCCAAACATTAACTGGTACTGTATATGTTTTCCCTTTGTCACAGGATGACAGCACAGGCAAGATGATATTTGACGAGGTGTTCCATGCCTTGTCACGATGCTTAGCTGGACTGTCCGACGCTTCAAAGTTCCAGGAACAGATCTATTATTTCAGCGGAAATCTTCGTCACTATCCTGGCTTATTCCTCCATCATAGGGCTCAATACACACCAGGTGATCATAATAATAGTATTCATATGAATATTAATGTATTTCTTGTTAGTTAAGCGTCTTTGTCAAGCTTCTTATAATCGTATGTAGTGGATCTTTCTTAGACCATTCTTGTTGATTGAATGATGGAAAGACGAGGCCGTTCTGATTCATGTGCAGTAGACAGTGCCACCACATTGATGGTTGGACACTCACTGAGCATTTTGAAACAATAACAAAGCATTCTCCATGTTTCTGTAAAAAAGCTGAGGGGTGTGGCTGGAGAAATGCAACCATCTCAAATTCATAGATAGCACATGGATGCAAAGGACTGACCATCCATGTTTTCAGGCTATATAGTGTTTGTTTACATTAACTTATTTGATGGGGTGGGATGACAGTTGAATTAAGCTCATGAGGCATGTATAAGTTATATTCTCAAGAATCAATGGGTACATATAATTAATTTATAAGTCAAAAAATTGATGTAGCAACTACAGATTGTCCCTTTAAGGGAAAGGAAACTGTACATTCTTAATTATATGTGCCTCTAATGAGACTGTGTTGTGTCTGCTCTGCTGTGTAGGTGTTGGTGCAGGGTTGGTTTCCTACACATGGACAGTTTCCTACACCAGATCTATCAGCAGCTTCGGGCAGTGGAGAACAACATAGCAGAGGTCTACAACAAACAGCACGGCCATCTTCAACGGCAACATGACCTTCTGCAGCAGCACGGCCATCTTCAGCAGCCCGACCAGGCAAGGAGAACGCATGCTTATTACAGTACTGTGACCATCACTTGAACTAGTGACAACCTTTAGGTCATCGTCAATCTTTTGCACTTGACCAGAACCATACAGTGCCTTCAGAAAGTATTCACACCCCATGACTATTCCACATTTTGTTGTGTTACAGCCTGAATTTAAAATCGATTACATATGGGATAAACAAAATGTACAGTCAAATAACACAATAGAAAACTATATACAGTGTGTGGAAATGTAGTAAGTTATGGAGGTAAGGCAATAAATAGGCCATAGTGCAAAATAATTACAATTTAGTATTAACACTGGAGTGATAGATGTGCAGAAGATGATGAGCAAATAGAGATACTAGGGTGCAAATGAGCAAAATAAATAACAATATGGGGATGAGGTAGTTGGGTGGGCTAATTACAGATGGGCTGTGTACAGGTGCAGTGATCGGTAAGCTAATTCGTTTTCAAAAGTAATTGTGGAAGGTTTTGAAAACGAATTAAAAAGTATTCAACTCCTTGTCATTGCAAGCCTAAATAAGTTCAGGAGTAAAAAAAATGTGCTTAAAAAGTCACTTAAGTTGCATGGACTCACTCTGTGTGCAATAATAGGTTCAAACATTATTTTTAATGACTACCTCATCTCTGTACCCCAAACATACAATTATCTGTAAGGTCCCTCAGTCGAGCAGTGAATTTTTCAAACACAGATTCAACCACAAGGACCAGGGAGGCTTTCTAATGACTCGCAAAGAAGGGCACCTATTGGTAGATGGGTTAAAAAAAAAAAGCAGACATTGAAAATCCCTTTGAACATGGTTGAAGTTATTAATTACACTTGGATGGTGTATCAATACACCCAGTCACTACAAAGATACAGGCGTCCTTCCTAACTCATTTGCAGGAGAGGAAGGAAAACCGCTCAGGGATTTCACAATGAGGCCAATGGTTGTCTTTAAAACAGTACATAATTTAATGGCTGTGATAGGAGAAAGCTGAGGATGGATCAAACAACATTGTAGTTACTCCACATACTAACCTAATTGACAGAGTGAAAAGAAGGAAGCCTGTACAGCATCCTGTTTGCAACAAGGCACTAAAGTAATACTGCAAAAATGTGGCAAAGCAATTCACTTTTTGTCCTGAATACAAAGTTGTTATTATTGGGGCAAATGCAATAAAACACATTAACTGAGTACCACTTTCCATATTTGCCATATAGTGGTGGCTGCATCATGTTATGGGATTGCTTTTAATGGTTAAGGACTGGGCAGTTTTTCAGGGTAAAAAATTAATGAAATGGAGCTAAGCACAGGGAAATCCTAGAGGAAAACCTGGTTCAGTCTGCTTTCCACCAGACACTGGGAGAATGAATTCACCTTTTACCAGGACAATAACCTAAAACACAAGGCCAAATCTGCACTGGAGTTGTTTACCAAGAAGCCGAGTTTCAGTTTTGACTTAAAATCTACTTGAAAATCTATGGCAAGACAGGGGAATGGTTGTATAGCAATGATCAATACTTTTTTTACATAATAATGGGCAAATATTGCACATCCAGGTTAGAGACTTACCCAGAAAGATTCACAGCTGTAATCGCTGGCAAAAGTGCTTTCTACAATGTATTTGACTCAACATTTCTTTTCTCCCAAATTTTGTAATATCCAATTGATAGTTACAGTCTTGTCCCATCGCTGCAACTCCCGTACGGATTCGGGAGAGGCGACGGTCGAGAGCCATGCGTCCTCTGAAACATGACCCTGCCAGAGCCGCACTGCTTCTTGACACATTGCTCGCTTAACCCGGAAGCCAGCCGCACCAATGACCAAAGTCAGCGTGCATGCGCCCGGTCCGCCACAAGGAGTCGCTAGAGCGCAATGGGACAAGGACAAACTAGCAAAAGAGTGGGTGGAATGTACAGTAACATCCTCAGAAAAAGGTTTTTGAACATGCCCGAACCAAGGCGCATTTGGTGGCCAGCAAGCCTTGTAGACAAGGCTAAAGAGGAACCCAGGTTATAGTTAACACTCAAAATGAAAAAATAGAATCTACAGACAGTCTTCCCAACAGCCTTCGAAGGAGGCTAAACATCACAGCCACAGGCCCAAGAAATTGACTGTCAGGAGTTTAATTGGGGTTTGACATGGGAAAGTAAATTTGGAGGTTTTGAAAACTAAGGTAGGATTTTTAATTTTATTTAAAGTTAAGGTGAATATGGTGCGTCATATTACACATAGGCAGGAGCCTAAATATTCTCATATGTGTGTTCTGCTGTAGCCTACATTGATTTATTTTATTTGAAGTTATCTCCAATATTGTGATCTACTTGCTGCATGATGTCTTGAAAATTATATGAAATTCGGGTCTTGTAACCCCCACAGCTGAGTATGTGTGCATATACATATGGCCGGTGTTCTGCAGTGACATCTAAAAATGTTGCTGTACATTGAGGTCTAGAAATGGAGGCTATAAGAAAGTCTGACTTGTGTAAACCCGCAGCTATACTCAAGTTTGTGGGCATACTGCAGTGACGTCTAAAATGGCTTTGAATTAAATCAGCACCTTGGAGAGCGCTGTCCGGTTCACCACCATAGATAGTAGGCTACTTGGGAGAGTGCTGTCCGTTTCACCACCATAGACGGTAGGCTACTTGGAGAGTGCTGTCCGTTTCACCACCATAGATGGTAGGCTACTTGGAGAGTGCTGTCAGTTTCACCACCATAGACAGTAGGCTACTTGGGAGAGTGCTGTCCGTTTCACCACCATAGACAGCAGGCTACTTGGAGAGTGCTGTCCGTTTCACCACATAGATAGTAGGCTATTGGGAGAGTGCTGTCCGTTTCACCACCAATAGATAGTAGGCTACTTGGAGAGTGCTGTCCGTTTCACCACCATAGATAGTAGGCTACATGGAGAGTGCTGTCCGTTTCACCACATAGATAGTAGGCTTATGGAGAGTGCTGTCCGTTTCACCACATAATAGTAGGCTACTTGGAGAGTGCTGTCCGTTTCACCACCATAGATACAGTGGGGAGAAACAAGTATTTGATACACTGCCGATTTTGCAGGTTTTCCTACTTACCAAAGCATGTAGAGGTCTTTAATTTTTATCATAGGTACACTCAACTGTGAGAGACGGAATCTTAAACAAAAATCCAGAAAAATCACATTGTATGATTTTTAAGTAATTAATTTGCATTTTATTGCATGATGTAAGTATTTGATCACCTACCAACCAGTAAGAATTCCGGCTCTCACAGACCTGTTAGTTTTCTTTAAGAAGTCCTCTGTTCTCCACTCATTACCTGTATTAACTACACCTGTTTGAACTCGTTACCTGTATAAAGACACCTGTCCACACACTCAATCAAACAGACTCCAACCTCTCCACAATGGCCAAGACCAGAGAGCTGTGTAAGGACATCAGGGATAAAATTGTAGACTGCACAAGGCTGGGATGGGCTACAGGACAATAGGCAAGCAGCTTGGTGAGAAGGCAACAAACTGTTGGCGCAATTATTAGAAAATGGAAGAAGGTTCAAGATGAAGGTCAATCTCCCTCGGTCTGGGGCTCCATGCAAGATCTCACCTTGTGGGCATCAATGATCATGAGGAAGGTGAGGGATCAGCCAGAACTACACGGCAGGACCTGGTCAATGACCTGAAGAGAGCTGGGACGACAGTCTCCAAGAAAAACCATTAGATCAATCAATTTCAATCAATTTATTTTATATAGCCTTTTAAATCAGCTAATATCTCGAAGTGCTGTACAGAAACCAGCCTAAAACCCCAAAAACAGCTAGTAATGCAGGTTGTAGAAGCACGTGTGGCTAGGAAAAACTCCCTAGAAAGGCGAGAAATAAATAAATTAGACAAATTGCAGAAAGGCAGAGCGGAAGTGGAGAAAGTCAAAGTTGCAGGTCCATTATGATATTCTGAGGCAGCAACTTGGCACGTATAAGAAGTCAGAATAATTTGAGAGTGCTCTTCTCGACCATTGATGGCCTGATAAATCCTACCCCCGTAAACCTATGTGAACTTTGCTCCACATCTAAATGTGATGAGTTTACTGCATTTTTTTTTGTTGAGATAAGATAACAAACATGAGGCTGGGTATCAGTCAAGCAAGACCTGATGAGAAGTTTGATATGTTCCCTAGCCTTCCATGCAAAGACACTATGGAGTTATTTTTCCTAGTTGACACAGACATGCTCAGGAAAGTGATATCACTACTTAAGCCTTCTAACTGCCTTCTCGATTCTATCCCCACCAACTTCTTCAAAACAGTTTTTAATTGCATATCTGAAGAAGTGTAAGCTATTGTTAATCACTCCCTGTTTACAGGCACTTTCCCCACTGCTCTAAAAACTGCTATGGTGAAACTCCTTCTGAAGAAAAATAATCTAGATTCTTCAGCTATTAGCAATTTTTGGCCAATCTCCAACCTTCCATACTTAAGCAAAATACTGGAGAAACTGTTTTTCAAACATCTAAAAAAAATGTGGTGCCAACTTTCTTTTTGAATAATTCTGATCTGGTTTTTGTGGCCACTACATCACAGAGACAGCCTTAGTTAAAGTGGTAAATGATCTTAGAGCCAACAGATGCCAAACAGCTCTCTGTCCTTGTACTCTTGGATTTAAGGGCTGCATTCGACACTGTTGACCATTATGTCCTTCTGGAGAGGTGGGTTGACCTTTCCGGTCCAGTTCTAAATTGGTTTAGGATCTATTTAACCGGTCGAGAGTTTTTTGTCACCCGTGGTGAACATAGCTCAGAGAAAATAGATATCACAAGTGGCTTTCCACAAGGTTCGATTTTGGGTCCGGTACTGTTCAGTTTATATATGTTACCCCTTGGCAGCGTTATCAGAAAGCACAGAATAGATTTTCACTGCTACGCTGACGATACACAACTTTACATTTCTGTGTCACCAGAGGATTTTAGCCAAACTGTGGACATATTTACAAAAGATCTTAAAACACCTTTTTAGCTTTGCTTTTCCTTAGGGTGCTTTTTTAGTCTTTCAGTTTTTGTTATTCTTTTGTTTTTTTATCCTCTTATGTTTGTGTAGTAAATATTTCTGTTTTTATTGTCCTAGTTTTTTTATTTTATGTTTTTTCCTTTAAAGCGCATTGTGTTGCATTCATGTCTGAAATGTGCTATATAAATAAAGTGTGATTGAGGGCAAAATGTGTAGAATAGCAGGATTACTGCTGGTTGTCATTGCGCAGCTCGTGAGCTGCATGTGGCTCTCAGGAACTTAATTGGCAGCTTGCGAAAATACAAATTTTTTAGTAGGGGGTCCTCGCCCAGGGGCTCAAAATATTTGGGGGTACTTGAAGTTAAAAAGGTTGAAAACCCCTGTACTATCCATCCCCCAAGTAACCTCAAGTTACCATCTACTATTCACTTAAAACCCACCATATAGATCTGTTTTACTGCAAAAGCATTCACAAGACCAACTTTTCCCCCCCAGTTTTCCCGACTAACTGTATACATTTCTAAAAATGCTGTGTTTCAGTGTCCGTTCTGCTCACTTTCCCCCTAGGTGGCACGCAGCTGGAGGTGAAGCTGGTGTTGCTGTGGAAACACAACATGCGTATAGAGTACCTAGCGGTGGCCCCATGGCCCCTGGACCCTGCCAAGAGGACCACCTGTGTAGAGGTCACCATGGAGGGAAGCTACGACATCCTCCATGATATCAGCTGTACTCTGAGGAAACCCATCACCTCCCCATACCGCACCTCCATCATACGACGCTTCTGGAACACACTGCAGAGGTCAATAGAATAGATAGTCTATTGGCAATTTTGTAAGTGTGAGAAAATGAGATTTGTCTTCTGCTTATCTCAACCTCCCTCAACTACACACGTTGAGAGGCACAGGGTCAGCCACGGAGCAGTACCTCAGGATAGAGGGTCGTTTAAAGTGCCTTGCTCCAAACAATTTTGTGAGCATATACTGTGCATTTCTCTTGTTAACACACATGTTATTCTGCCCTCTGTAGTATAAACCAGACAGATCAGATGCTGGTCCACTTGCAGTCCTTTAACTCTCTCCCAGAGAACTACACCATCCCTGAGAGCACCAAGAACGGAGTTCCTCTCTTCTACATCCCACCTGGATCCACCATGCACCTCTGTAGCTCAGCTGGTAGAGCACGGCGCTTGTAACGCCAAGGTAGTGGGTTCGATCCCCGGGACCACCCATACACAAAAATGTATGCACGCATGACTGTAAGTCGCTTTGGATAAAAGCGTCTGCTAAATGGCATATTATTATTATTTATTATTATGTACTCTGTCTGGCTTTCACATAATGCATTGTCACAGGAGGGACTGACCCTAGTTGGTTTATTTAGCCTTTATTTTACCAGGTTGTAGGTACTCTGCCTGCTCTTAGTAGCACTGATTCAATAGCGGCTATTTTGAAGGTTTTACTTGCAAATATTGTGATTGTGATCGCGATTTCCTGTACTGCGTTGTCACAGGCCTCACCGACTATATTTACCTCAGGACAGGTAGTCAGTCACAGCCTGTGTCCCAAATGCCATCCTATTCCCTATATAGTGCACTACTTTGACCAGAGCCCTGTTCTGTCCTCCAGGTTCTCTCCCTCCAGCACAGCGGCTCTAAAGCCCATCCTGTCCATGGATGCCAACTTCTGGCAGAGATGGCTTCACATGCACCGCATCGCCATCATCCTGGAGCACGACATGTGAGAGATGCCTTACAGTTATTGTACCTTTTTAGATTTCAATAGAGTTGTCAATTTATCAATATCATCACTGGGAGCAGTCTTTATGGTCGTCTCCCAGTCAATAGTAGAGAAAGAGAACTGGGTTCCTTCTTTGTTCCGCTACTGACTGTCTACGCACCAACTATTGTATACTGAACAAAAATATAAACGCAACAAGTGTTGGTTTCATGAGCTGAAATAAAAGATCCCCGAAATCTTCCATATGTACAAAAAGCTTATTTCTCTCAAATTTTGTGCACAAATTTGGTAACATCCGTGTTGCCAGAGAATTTAATGTTCATTTCTCTACCATAAGCCGCCTCCAACGTTGTTGTAAAGAATTTGGCAGTACGTCCAACCGGCCTCACAACAGCAGACCACGTGTAACCACGCCAGCCCAGGACCTCCACGTCCGGCTTCTTCACCTGCGGGATCGTCTGAGACCAGCCATCTGGACAGCTGATGAAACTGTGGGTTTGCACAAGCGAAGAATTTCTGCACAAACTGTCAGAATCCGTCTCAAGGAAGCTCATCTGTGTGCTCATCGTCCTCACCAGGGTCTTGACCTGACTGCAGTTCTGCGTTGTAAAATATTTCAGTTGGCAAATGCTCACTTTCGATGGCCACTGGCACGCTGGAGAAGTGTGCTTTTCGCAGATGAATTCCGGTTTCAACTGTACTGGGCAGATGGCAGACAGCAAGTATGGCGTTGTGTGGGCGAGCGGTTTGCTGATGTCAACATTGTGAACAGAGTGCCCCATGGTGGCGATGGGGTTATGGTATGGGCAGGCATAAGCTACGGACAACGAACACAATTGCATTTTATCGATGGCAATTTGAATGCACAGAGATACTGTGACGAGATCCTGAGGCCCATTGTCGTGCCATTCATCCACCGCCATCACCTTATGCTTCAGCATGATAATGCACAGCCCCATGTTGCAAGGATATGTACACAATTCCTGAAGCTGAAAATGTCCCAGTTTTTCCATGGCCTGCATACTCACCAGACATTGAGCATGTTTGGGATGCTCTGGATCGACGTGTACAACAGCATGTTCCAGTACAGGCCAATATCCAGCAACTTCACACAGCCATTGAAGAGGACTGGGACAACATTCCACAGGCCACAATCAACAGACTGATCAACTCTAGGTGAAAGAGATCTGTCGCGCTGCATGAGGCAAATGGTGGTCACACCAGATACTGACTGGTTTTCTGATCCACACCCCTACCTTAAAAAAAAAAAAAGTTATCTGTGACTAGGGCTGTGGCGGTCATTACATTTTGTCATACGGTTATTGTCATGCAAAAGACTGTCGGTCTCACGGTAATTGACCATTAATTAACATAAACATGTTTAGCATCTCCAGGCCTCCACACATACAAGCCGCTAATGCGTGCCTTTTGGAACATCTACATTTAAAAAGTCGAATAAATCAATTTAATATATACCATCACAATAAATCCGTCATAGGAGACCACCTAGACCACAATTCTAAGATCACCATGCGCAATGCCAAGCGTTGGCTGGAGTGGTGTAAAGCCTGCTGCCATTGGACTCTGGAGCAGTGGAAACGTGTTCTCTGGCGTGATGAATCACGCTTCACCATCTGGCAGTCTGAAGGACGAATCTGGGTTTGGCGGATGCCAGGAGAACGCTACCTGCCTGAATGCATAGTGCCAACTGTAAAGTTTGGTGGAGGAGGAATAATGGTCTGGGGCTGTTTTTCATGGTTCAGGCTAGGAAGCTTAGTTTCAGTAAAGGGAAATCTTAACACTACATTATACAATGACATTCTAAAGGATTCTGTGCTCTAGAATGTTTGGGGAAGGCCCTTTCCTGTTTCAGCATGACAATGCCCCCGTGCACAAAGCAAGGTCCATACAGAAATGGTTTGTCGAGATCGGTGTGGAAGAACTTGACTGGCTTGTACAGAGCCCTGACCTCAACCCCATCGAACACCCTTGGGATGAATTGGAACGCCGACTGCGAGCCAGGCCTAATCGCCCAACAGTACCGACCTGACTAATGCTCTTGTGGCTGAATGGATGCAAGTCCCCGCAGCAATGTTCCAACATCTAGTGGAAGCCTTTCCAGATTAATGCCCATGATTTTTGGAATGAGATGTTCGACAAGCAGGTGTCCACTTTTTGGCCATGTAGTGTATTTGACTGAACTGTTGACAGCCTGTCTGCATGCTCGAGAAAGAAATAAAGGAGAGAGAGGAGGAGATGGAAATGCATGGTGGTGAGATATTCTGTATAGCTTAAGGTAAGGTGTCCCCCAATTACTTATGAAAATAAATAAAAAATCCCTATTACTAGGCTATTCAAAATCATATACAATTCACTATTTGTAAGCTAACTGTAAGCCACCCTGCACAATCAATGAACCAACAGCATCACCTAGGGCTATACGTTCTCTCCCAGACTCATGGATATACATTTTGGAGCATAGCATAAGGTAACCAGTCCATCCATTATGCATAATAATACAGTCCACACTCAAAGGCCATTACTCGAATTTGTGTAATTTTATAGGCTAGCCCAATTATGTACCAAAGACATCTTAACTCAGTTTTGTTATGTTTTTCTGCCATGTGTAATATGCCGTAGGCTATACAGTGCATTCCGAAAGTATTCAGACCCCTTCCCTTTTTCCACATTTTGTTACATTACAACCTTATTCTAAAATTGATTAGATAATTTTTTTTCCTCATCAATCAATTTTTTTTAAAGAAAGAAAGACCTTATTTACATAAGTATTCAGACCCTTTGCTATGAGACTCAATTGAGCTCAGGTGCATCCTGTTTCCATTGATCATCCTTGAGATGTTTCTACAATTTGATTGGAGTCCACCTGTGGTAAATTTAATTGATTGGACATGATTTGGAAAGGCACACACCGGTCTATATAAGGTCCCACAGTTGACAGTGCATGTCAGAGCAAAAACCAAGCCATGAGGTCAAAGGAATTGTCCATAGAGTTCCGAGACAGGATTGTGTCGAGGCACAGATCTGGGGAAGGGTACCAAAACATTTCAGCAGCATTGAAGGTCCCCAAGAACACAGTGGCCTCCATCATTCTTAAATGGAAGAAGTTTAGAACCACCAAGACTCTTCCTAGAGCTGGCTGCCCGGCCAAACTGAGCAATCGGGGGAGAAGGGCCTTGGTCAGGGAGGTGACCAAGAACCCGATGGTCACTCTGACAGAGGTCCAGAGTTCCTCTGTGGAGATGGGAGAACCTTCCAGAAGGACAACCATCTCTGCAGCACTCCACCAATCAGGCCTTTATTGTAGAGTGGCGAGACGGCACATGACAGCCTGCTTGGAGTTTGCCAAAAGGCACCTAAACGACTCTCAGACCATGAGAAACAAGATTCTCTGATTCCCTACAGTGAAGCATGGTGGTGGCACCTTCCAACAGCACATCGACCCTAAGCACACAGCCAAGACAACGCAGGAGTGGCTTCGAGACAAGTTTCTGAATGTACTTGAGTGGCCCAGCCAGAGCCCTGACTTGAACCCGATCTAACATCTCTGGAGAGGCCTGAAAATAGCTGTGCAGCGACGCTCCCCATCCAACCTGACAGAGCTTGAGAGGATCTTTTTTTATTTATTTTTTTACCCCCCTTTTTCTCCCCAATTTCGTGGTATCCAGTTGGTAGTTACAGTCTTGTCCCATCGCTGCAACTCCCGTACGGACTCGGGAGAGGCGAAGGTCGAGAGACGTGCGTCCTCCGAAACACAACCCAACCGAGCCGCACTGCTTCTTGACACAATGCCCGCTTAACCCGGAAGCCAGCCGCACCACTGTGTCGGAGGAAACACCGTACACCTGCCGACCGTGTCAGCGTTCACTGTGCCGGCCCGCCACAGGAGTCGCTAGTGCGCGATGGGAGAACATCCCTGCCGGCCAAACCCTCCCCTAACCTGGACGGCGATTGTGTGTGTATCTTGATGAGGGGGGGGAAAACTATTTAATCAATTTTAGAATAAGGTTGTAACGTAACAAAATGTGGAAAAACTGAAGGGGTCTGAATACTTTCCGAATGCACTGTAATTTTCAATCATAATTTTGATTTAGTTATTTATTTATTTATTTATTTTTTTTGGGGGGGGGGGGGGGTTTGGGCTCATAAGCCTTTGCATATGCATAAGCTCTAATATGCATATTCAAGTTTTTAATGAATCATCACCTTGGAAAGCGCTGTCCATTCAGTTGTGTTAGGCTTTGAAACAACACCCACAATGACCATGTTTTACACTCAGTTTCAACGTGCTGTTGAACTTCGTTCTTCAAATTCATCATCACAGTGAGGTGATTTTTGAAAGTAGGATAGGCCTACTGTTTTGATGATGTGATTTTCGATAGCATTTGCATTGATGTCAAAGTGGTTAGAGGGACAATAGAGCAATGAGTACCAGGCCATTAGGACCTGATGGTAGTTATCAAGTTGGGTAAGCATGTCCAGAGTACATAAAAGGAGATTAGTATGACCACAACAGCCCTATCTGTGATCAACAGATGCGTATCTGTATTCCCAGTCATTTGAAATCCATAGATTAGGGCCTAATGAATTTATTTCAATTGACTGATTTCCTTATATGAACTGTAACTCAGAAAAGTATTTGCAATTGTTGCATGTTGCATTTTTTCTCCCCCAGTGTAGAATACTATGTACAGGGATTTTACATAAAAAAATGTTCTCACAGTCATTATAATAGTGATATTTTCTCTCTGCAGGCCTGTGCCCAAGCACCTCCACACTGCCGGTAGCAACGGGCGTTTCAGCACCATCCAGTGTCGTATCTCTCACTCAGCCCTCACCTCCCTACTGAGGGACTGGAGCAGCTTCGTACTGGTGGAGGGATACTCATACGTCAAGCTCATATACAGGTAAGGAGGAATAGAGACTCATGGGAAATGTAGTTCACAATGTGGAATGAGACAGACCTGAGTTCAAATAGTATTTGTTTTTTCTTTGAAATACTTAAAGGGATACTTCGAGATTTTGGCAATGAAGCCCTTTAGCTACTTCCCCAGAGTCAGCTAAACTCGTAGATACCATTTTTATGTCTCTGCTTGCAGTTTGAAGGAAGTTGCTAACTAGCGTTAGCGCAATTGCTAACTAACGTTAGCGCAATGACTGGAAGTCTACAGCATTGGCACGCGAAACTACCTCTAACTTCTGTACAACCATTGAAATATCTAAGTTTGACATATTATTTTACTACACTGATTCCACAATTGAACGTCAGTATGTCATAAATATCTTTATTTTATTAGGAACATTTTTCATACACAAATCAAAATCTATGAAGAAAAAAGCCCTTATTTTTTTACTGATTTGGGAAAATATTTAGAATCATTAAAACGTATGCAAAACAAAATGTCTCAAAAAAGTTTTCGCTACATGTGTCTATTTTATTTGATATACAATACCGTTCAAAAGTTTGGGGTCACTTAGAAATGTCCTTGTTTTCCATGAAATTAGTTTGAATAGGAAATATAGCAAAATGCATAGGAAATGTAGTCATCGACAAGGTTAGAAATAATGATTGTGTCCTTCAAACTTTGCTTTTGTCAAATAATCCTCAATTTGCAGCAATTACAGCCTTGCAGACCTTTGGCATTCTAGTTGTCAATTTGTTGAGGTAATCTGAAGAGATTTCACCCCATGCTTCCTGAAGCACCTCCCACAAGTTGGATTGGCTTGATGGGCACTTCTTACGTACCATACGGTCAAGCTGCTCCCACAACAGCTCAATAGGGTTGAGATCTGGTGACTGTGCTGGCCACTCCATTATAGACAGAATACCAGCTGACTGCTTCTGCCCTAAATAGTTATTGCGTAGTTTGGAGCTGTGCTTTGGGTCATTGTCCTGTTGTAGGAGGAAATTGGCTCAAATCAAGCACCGTCCACAGGGTATGGCATGGCGTTGCAAAATGGAGTGATAGCCTTCCTTTTTCAAGATCCCTTTTACCCTGTACAAATCTCCCACTTTACCACCACCAAAGCACCCCCAGACCATCACATTGCCTCCACCATGCTTGACAGATGGCATCAAGCACTCCTCCAGCATCTTTTCATTTGGTCTGCGTCTCACAAATCTTCTTCTTTGTGATCCGAACACCTCAAACTTCGATTCGTCTGTCCATAACACTTTTTTTCCAATCTTCCTCTGTCCAGTGTCTGTGTTCTTTTGCCCATCTTAATCTTTTATTTTTATTGGCCAGTCTGAGATATGGCTTTTTCTTTGCAACTCCAACTAGAAGGTCAGCATCACGGAGTCGTCTCTTCACTGTTGACGTTGAGACTGGTGTATTGCGGGTACTATTTAAAAAAGCTGCCAGTTGAGGACCTGTGAGGCGTCTGTTTCTCAAACTAGACACTAATGTATTTGTCCTCTTGCTCAGTTGTGCACCGGGGCCTCCCACTCCTCTTTCTTTTCTGGTTAGAGCCAGTTTGCGCTGTTCTGTGAAGGGAGTAGTACTCAGCGTTGTACGAGATCTTCAGTTTCTTGGCAATTTCTCGCATGGAATAGCCTTCATTTCTCAGAACAAGAATAGATTGACGAGTTTCAGAAGGAAGTTCTTTGTTTCTGGCCATTTTGAGCCTGTAATCGAACCCGCAATTGCTGATGCTCCAGATACTCAAATCGTCTAAAGAAGGCCAGTTTTATTGCTTTTTTAATCAGTACAACAGTTTTCAGCTGTGCTAACATAATTGCAAAAGGATTTTCTAATGATCAATTAGCTTTTTAAAATGTTAAACTTGGATTGGCAAACACAACGTGCCATTGGAACACAGGACTGATGGTTTCTGATAATGGGCCTCTGTACACCTATGTAGATATTCCATAAAACATCAGCCATTTCCAGCTACAATAGCCATTTACAACATTAACAATGTCTACGCTGTATTTCTGATCAAAAAATTGTTTATCTTTCAAAAACAAGGACATTTCTAAGTGACCCCAAACTTTTGAACGGTAGTGTAATGTGGATTTGTTTAGTTTTTTTCCTCTTCATTATTTCTTTATGTAATCCCTCTGGCTGTTCAGTTTTTTTGTGTTTTGCATGTTGTTTAAAATTGTTTTAAAAATTATACAAAAATATATATAACCTCTTCTTTCATACTTGGCGCAGAGACATAAAAATGGTATCCACGAGTTCATCTGACTCTGGGGAAGTAGATATAGGGCTTCATTGCCAGCATCTCAAAGTATTCCTTTAAGTATTTGAAAGAAAAAAACAAATACTATTTGAACACAGGTCTGTCTCACTCCTTCATTGCCAAAATCTCGATGTATCCCGTTAAACTGTGATTGAATGACCCAATGGAATAGTCTCAAAAAGGCAATCCCACTTGAGGCATATTCAATCACTTGCACAAAGTATTTGAAAGAAAACATATTCTATTTGAACCCAGGACTGGATTGAGATACAGTACATGACTGGAGTAAGGTTTAATGAATGTCCTGTCCCCAGTTCCTCTGACCAGCCCCCCAACTCCTTCTATCTGGTGCGTCTGATCTCCAAGGTCCCCTGTATAGTTCTGAGGCTGGGCTTTCCTATCGGCACCCTGGCCCACACCAGGAACAAGGTACTGGACATGGTCGACACACCAAAAATACTTTTAACCATTGTTGAATAGAGAATATATTTTTAATCTCAAGAGCAAGAGCTGTGCTATTTCTCCTCACTGTAAACGGAACTAACAAGCAGGGAGAAGTATTCAGTAAAAACTTGTGTGAATAGTAAAAGATGTCACTCACTAAGTGAAAACATGTCACCTTTTCCTCAGAATGTGTTGGTATGACCTTTTGTTGCCATTTGTGTCGATGTTGTCTGTAAATGTTGATTGTTAACTCATGGCTGAATATGCAAGACTAATTCCTGAAAAGGGCCAATAAAGGGAAGTGAACTAAAGTGAACTGTCTGTGTGGAAACTAACCCATCCTATTCTTCAGCTCCACCTTTTCTCTGCCCTCTATCTTCCAGATAGTGGATGAGTTGCGGGAGCAGATCCTGAGGCTTCGCTTCCCTCAGCGCATCCAGAACAAGGAGGCTACGCCCAAGACCAAGAGGAAGATTCTGGGGTCCCCTCCTCTCCCTGCTCCCAAACCTGCGTTATCTGACCGGCCATGTGTGGTGGTCCTCAACAAACCTCTGGAGAAACTGCTCATCAGGTCAGTGGAATGTATTCAGATTTGTGCCTTGAGCATGGAAGCTACCCAGCAGGCACAACTGGTTGAAATAATGCTGGGTAACTTGCCATACCAAAGCAATTGGATGGTAGCATTTAATTTTACCGTACTGTTCAAAGAAACAAATAAGGTTATTGATTTACTTATTGCTGTGTAATTACCATTTTACCATGTCATTTCTCAGGAAATATCTGGTTTCTGTACTGTAAAATTAAGTGATTCCAATTGATATTTTTTCAGTCACGTGGCTTATTACTGTAGATGACAATTATTGAGGTCATGAGACATAAGGCATCAGACTTTTGTTTGGATTATGAAGGCGTTTTGTCCTTTATAAACGTGAGTGCTCTGAATCTAACAGTGTCCAATCTCTCCCTGTAGCTACAATAAGCTCCCGTCAGACTTCCGGACGCCCTTCATTCTGAACATGGAGAACTTCGCCCAGCCCCCCAGCATGACCGCGACACTCAGTATGGCAGCCAATCGGACGGCTTCGTCCACCCTAGCGTCTCTTTCGCGCTACTTTCTCCACCAACGGTGGGTGTGGGCGGTGCAGGGCGGCCTGGGATCTACCGTTCCGCTGCAGGCTGTGGCTCATATACTGTCCATGCTGTCTGAGTGAGTCCCCCTGGCATGTCTGTTACCTGAATCATGCACTGTGAATGTAATGTTTTTGATGTGCTTTACACCTGTTTACCTGAATATCTATATGCTGGCATGCTTTATGACACAGAAAGACTTTCCTGATGGATACAAGTCATCATTGTCATATCAGGGAGCTGTTAGGAAGTTCTTAGGGGTACTAACGTCTTGTGACTTGTTGCCTGAAAGTGTGTTTTGATGTTCCCCCAGGATTCGCCTCTCTGAGGGCTTTCATTTTGCTGCCAGTGGAGATGGCATAGTCAACATGGTGACTGAACTACCAATGAAGGTGAGAGTAGAATGCTGACTGGCTGGGGCAGTTAGGGACAAAAAATATTTACTAAACCCATATGAATTCATTACATAAACCCTCATGGTCCTTCGAGCTGGATAAGAACAATTTTACACACATTTTACAGAATATGAAGTAAAATTGTTAAATCTAAACCAAACAAAACTCATATAACATTATCTACATTTACACTGCAAAGATTAGGCCGCACACATACACATATTTTAATCTGGAAATATTTAGGCCAGACAGTTTATTACTGTACAGTGTTTGCATTGAATTCCTATACAAATCCAATAGTAAGAATTACTTGTAGGGGATGCCAGAGGCGGTGGACAGAGAGATTCACAACTGTATTGTCCAGTATATCCTGTTTCAACCTCACTCCACCTCTACCAAGGACAGGTAAGACTGAATTCCATTAAGTATTTGGCCACTGGTTCTATTGCTTTATTCCACACGTTCCATACATTCAACACATTCTCCAACATTATCTTCATATATTATCCAACAGTTACATTTATAAGAACAGTTACTTTTATTTATAAGAACAGTTACATTTACAATAACTGTTTTTTAAACCTTTTGAGCACTTTGTTGCACATTGCTATTGGGTATATTTTGCTGGTTATTTAGTCAGTAAATTGTGCTATTGCTGAATAGGCTTCCATATGTCTCCTCCTGTCCTGACCCCTTGTCTTCCATGATGGGTCTCCAGTTTCTCCACAGACGATGACAACGATACAGAGGTGGAAGCCATCGATGTGGACACCGAGCTCAACCTGGTGACCGAGTGTTGGGTAGAGCCTCAGAGTAGGACAGTATGGAGCACCAGAGACCAACACAGACACTTCCATTAGCTCACCTACCAGGAGATACCCCAGGCGGTCAGTAGCAATCGACCAATTGCTCAATCAATCAATTAAATTTGTTTTCTTATATTAGCAGTTGTCAGCTGTTGTCAAAGGTAGCTATTCATTAGTACAATCGCTGATAGTTCCAATTCATGCATTTGTATAGTATTACAATACTTATAAATAGATGAGGTGAAGTTGAAATGTGTGTACAGATACAGCCAGAGGACTGGTTTCTCCCTCATCATTTGATTGTAATAGTGAGTTAACTTTGTCCACAGATTTTTCCCTGGGATCTGGCCTGTATGTCCACCATGATGACGTTTGAGTACCTGAGCCAGCTGTGCCAGAACAAGGAGCAGGTGTACCCTCCCATCGGGTCCGCTGCAGGGGGACCCCCAGCCTCTGAGGACTGCATCCACACCGTTCCCTTCCAGTTTGACCTCATTGAGCTGCTCCCCAAGTGCCAACAGATAGAGATCTTCTTCCTCACACTCAGCAGAGGTGAATGTTATCATGTGATAATGTCCTCAAGACCTAATTGTTTTTTTAAACATTAATTGATCAATTGTAGTAAATTCAGGCAGTAGTCCAAACCTGGGTCCCTCCTATTCTTAGTCTAACACCTTAGCCATTTTTACCCCAAGAGGTCCAAACCTCTTGACATGGTCACTACAATATTATGAAGATGGCGATTGAAGTAATGAAAATGTATTTGTGTTTATTGCAGTGGAGAATGAGGTGTCCCAGGGCGCCCCCTACTCGGCCAACGAGCTCCTGCTTAGTCTGTTTCACAGCAGCTTGCAAAACGAGCTCAGTGACCGCGAGATCACATTGGCTGATTATGAGAACGTCACCTTCATGCATCACATCCTAGACAGGGAACGAGATGGACATGTTGCACCCTTCTCTCTACCTGTCATCAGAGGTAGGCATTCTAAATGTGTGCTTCTGCTGTACATCTGCTTGTTCTTTGGAGTCTTGACTGAGTTAATGTAAAGCATTTTGTGACAACTGTTGATGTAAAAAGGGCGTTATAAACACGACTGACTGAAAACAACAAAATCCTGCTAAAGATTGTTTCAATTATGTAACATTTTATACTCCTGCACAAAATGACTTTTTTCTTTGTCTTTGCCAATGTGGTTCCTTTCAATGTTTTGATTGATTGGTATTGTTACTTTCCCTTGACAGAAGAGTGCCTGAAACCTCCAGAGAGACAGGACACAGTGATGTCATTCCAAACTATAGGGAGCAGTAAAGAAGTGACGGGGTCCACCTGTACCCTACAGGTAATAACCAGTACCCTACAGGTAATAACCAGTACCCTTCAGGTAATAACAGTACCCTACAGGTAATAACCAGCACCCTACAGGTAATAACCAGCACCCTACAGGTAATAACCAGCACCCTACAGGTAATAACCAGCACCCTACAGGTAATAACCAGCACCCTACAGGTAATAACCAGTACCCTTCAGGTAATAACCAGTACCCTACAGGTAATAACCAGCACCCTACAGGTAATAACCAGCACCCTACAGGTAATAACCAGCACCCTTCAGGTAATGACCTGCACCCTATAGGTAATGACCTGCACCCTATAGGTAATGACCTGCACCCTATAGGTAATGACCTGCACCCTATAGGTAATGACCTGCACCCTATAGGTAATGACCTGCACCCTATAGGTAATAACCAGTACCCTACAGGTAATAACCTGTACCATATAGGTAATAACCAGTACCCTACAGGTAAACCTTTTAACCAGTATGTGTTCTCTCTTCGGGAAGAGAGATCCAGAAGGTTCCTCCTTGGCATTGATATCAGTTTTATGCAATGTAAAACCACCAATGGGCCAGAGGTTCTGCTTTTCGTGTCCAGGCATGGTTTACACTACCCTCTTGTTCCTCTCATTATTGAAGCTTTGTCCACCTTGGGCAATACTCCTTTTGTCTATTTTGTAACACTTGTCATCTCTGTACGTTTGTCCCCTCTTTTTCTCAGAGTTTCAGCAATGCTGACCTGGTGGACGAGGAGTCAGTCCCAGTTGAGAGGGATGGGTCTACCCCTCAGTGGAAGTGTTACGCCAAGTACATCAGCCCCCAACAGATCCTCCTCACCTTCCTCCCTGACACCTTCACAGGTAGGCCTGGTATACTATACCCCCTTCTCCTTTCTGGGATCTGGTCTAGTAACAGGTCAAATCCACTTCTGTTCTCTGTGCTCTGCTGTAGTTTCTGATGTGCAAATAGGACAGAACTACAGCTCTTTCTACTCATTACTCAAGTGGGGGCTCTGCTCTAGTAATAGTAATCCTATGTATTTAGGCTAGCTACCAGCCTAGTATCATGTGCTAGTTTTAACTGATTGTGACATGCTTATCATCATAAAGTTGTATTGCTACAGTGATGTGTATTTTATAGATGTTGGTAATGTTACTATGTTAATAAAGATCTTTGAACATTGTTGTGTGTTATCTGCAGATGTCCAGATGTTGATGTCATCTGGGCTGGACACAGAGCCCCAGGGTAACGGAGAGGATGATGACACCCTGACAACCAGCAACAAATCACAGGCCGATTCTCACTCTGTCTCCACCAATGGGCTGGATGGTGGGTTGACTGGCGATCTGATGTCCCCCCTGCTCTCCCCTGGTGGTGGTGGTCCTGTGGGACCCAGGTCGCGCCTGCTCTCCCCTGGATCTGGGAGCTCCATGGTGGAGCAGGACAACTGGGAGAGCCGGCCCTGTGAGCCAGAAAATGGCACCAAAGGTGCAGTTAAGTACTATAGGATTATTGTATTCTTAGTCTGTTGCTACCAACATACCTTCTCACCAACCCTCTCGGTCTCTCTGTCTCTCTCTGTCTCTCTCTGTCTCTCTCTGTCTCTCTTTCTTTCTTTCTCTCTCTCTCCCTCTCCCTCTCCCTCTCCCTCTCCCTCTCCCTCTCCCTCTCCCTCTCTCTCTCTCTCTCTCTCTCTCTCTCCCTCTCCCTCTCAGCAACAAAATAATATTACTGTTTTGGAAGGGAAGGGATGGGGCTCCCAGAACAAATTGTGTTTATTTTGCTGGCTGGCGTCACGCTGAAATGTATCCCCTATCTAGTTGTGGTTGTAAATTATTCTCTCTCTCTCTACCCCTCTTTCCACCTCTCTCTCTACCAATTTCTCTCTCTCTCTACCTCTTTCTCTCTCTACCTCTACCTCTCCCCCTCTCTCTCTCTCTCTCTCTCTCTCTCTCTCTCTCTCTCTCTCTCTCTCAGCAATAACATAATATAACTGTTGTGGAAGGGATGGGGCTTCCAGAACAAATTGTGTTTATTTTGCTGGCTGGCGTCATGGTGTAATGCATCCCCCTCTCTAGTTGTGGTTGTAAGTTATTCTCTCTCTCTTTCTCTTTCGCACTCTCTCTTTCTCCCTCCTTTCTCACTCTCTCTTTCTCTCCCTCTCTCAGGTGTGGATGAGAGGGATGGGGTGCAGTTTGCTGAGCCCCAGAAGGGAGACTTCCACATCACGTTCAGTCGCCAGGTGTGCCAGCAGAGCTCAGGGGACTTGTCCCGTCCGTGCTTCCCTGTATACGTCTATAACTGTTCCCTGGACTCTCTGAAGAACCAGCTAGTCCATCCCCATTTCAACAGGCAGCCAAGGGACATCTTCTTCAGGTATCCAGTAACACACACACACACACACACTTGGGCTACTGATTGGGAGCACATCTGGGTTCAATAGTATTGGTTTTCTTTCAAGTACTTTATCTGCACTTGATTGTGGATTGAGCTTGCCTGACACCATGGAACTAATGGAATATTCTCAGCAGTGGAAATCTAGCCATCTGGGACACCGGGCAGGCTCAATCAAAATCTCCCAAGTATTATGAGGAACAGATACAATTTAAACCCAGGTCTGGGGAGGGGAATAGGGCAGATCCAAGGCCCTGTTTATGTGACTGACTCTTGAAACTCTCTCAGTCAAAAGTCCTACCATGTCATACCTGATTATACCCTTCATACCCTTCATAAGTTTACCCTTCACTCAACATTGGTTGCCAGCAAGGTCATTGTGGTTACCTGAGCCCCATGCTAATGTTTTCCTTTACTATGGTGATAAATAGGCCTCAAGACGCTGACTCCTGGGAGATGCATCAGCAGATGAAGTTCAGGTAGCACAGCACTGCTAGCTTACTACTGCTTCCATCCTCCTGCTGCTCACCTCCTCCTCCCCCCTCCTCCTCTGGTGAGATCCATCTCAATTCATCTTTCCTAAATTCCTTGCATCTTTGCTCTGAGGGAATGGGGGATGGGACCAATACGGTTGAGAAGGAGGTGAGGGGAAAGCATGCAAGGAGTCATGGAAAGATTAACTGAGCCGTGGTGTTTCGGATCGGCGCATGTGGGAGGAGCTTAGGCCTGATCACATGCTCCTATCTCCTCTTTTTTCAGACCAGGGAAAGGATCCTCCTCCTCTCTAAGTGGGTGGGGTTGAGGAAATCACTCTCTCACTCATTCCTTCCATGCTTGTGTTGCTATGGGGATGTTGGTATCTGCCTCCAGAGAAGACTGTCGCCTCTAGACATTTTGACTTGAAATTCATTAACATACTTGAAGGCTTGACTCCACAAAGCATGACCCTTATATTTGCTAGAGCTCATAGCTTCTTGTAGGAGGCCGTCTCTCTGTCTGCAGTCAGATACTAATGGGTGAAACTGTCAAAAATCAACATGTCTGCTGTGTGAACTGACAATATCTTACTTATTGTATGTTCCCAGTAAACCAAATTTGGTTCATGCAGTTAGGGTAGTTCGTTCAAGCTTCTCTGAGTTTTGTATACCCTACTTGATGTCCTGAACATTGTGCTATGAAAATCTCTCCTCTTAGCCTAGTTTCTTGGTACTCTTTTTTCATCTGTGAAATATGGGAATTATACACTTGTGTATCATGGTACAGGACTGACTATGTTGACACATAGTTTTGACATATTGGATACATTTTCTGAACTGCTTATTTACCCCCTTAAAACTCATGCTTTGGAGCTCTAATGTTGTGGAGTGTTACCTTATCCTCAAGCTAATAGACTTTAACAGCAGCCTCCTCACCTCAATGCATAATGCAGCATTACATGGAGCTGCACCGTGTGTTTATTTTCTAACAGAGATTAAAGATCATCAGAGATTTGTGTTTTTTATGACATGAGATTAGAGACTGTGTTTGTAAAGGAGATATGCAGCATGTTAATATCGCCATGTTATATTTGAGGATTAGACTATGCTCCTTCCTTTCTATGGCTTGTATGGTTCTCTGACAGATCTACTGCCGGGCTGAGTGTGGTTCTCTTCCTCCTCTTCTGTAACAGTGTTGGGGTGTTTGTCTGTCTGATGTCTGTCTCCTTCCCTCCCTACAGGTCCCTATCTCAGGAACGCAGCAGCACCTCCTCCTGGACAGACCTGATGTCGCAGCCTCATAAACACAAGGAGCTGGCCAACTACTGCAGCCTGCTACAGGAGCACTACCACAACAGCTACGTCAAAGGTAATGCACTACCACCACAACTACGTCAAAGGTAATGCACTACCACCACAGCTACGTCAAAGGTAATGCACTACCACCACAGCTACGTCAAAGGTAATGCACTACCACCACAGCTACGTCAAAGGTAATGCACTACCACCACAGCTACTCAAAGGTAATGCACTACCACCACAGCTACTCAAAGGTAATGCACTACCACCACAGCTACGTCAAAGGTAATCTTGATTTGAACCAAATCTATATTCAAATCAAATCTTGATTTGATTCTGGGGGCGGAAGTTTTCAAATTTGAACTAAAGGAAACCGGAAAGGAAGTCTCCATCCCTCTCAAAGCCTCTGCCAAAGACTGTCTCCAGTCCCTTCCTTTTCCCGTATGTCAGATTATGCAAGTACAGTGAGGGGGAAAAAGTATTTAATCCCCGAGGGAGATTGACAGTTCTTTTGTGTTTCAGCTAGTAGCTGGTTATCTTTCTCCCTCTCTGTGTGTCCCAAATGGCACCATATTCCCTATATAGTACACTACTTTTGACCAGAACTTTATTCCCTATATAGTACACTACTTTTGACCAGAACTTTATTCCCTATATAGTACACTACTTTTGACCAGAACTTTATTCCCTATATAGTACACTACTTTTGACCAGAACTTTATTCCCTATATAGTACACTACTTTTGACCAGAACTTTATTCCCTATATAGTACACTACTTTTGACCAGAACTTTATTCCCTATATAGTGCAATACTTTTGACCAGAACTTTATTCCCTATATAGTGCCCTACTTTTGACCAGAACTGTATTCCCTATATAGTGCACTACTTTTGACCAGAGCCCTATATGCCTGTGAGGTATTGACGCACACACACACAGGCAGGCCCTTCGATAGCGCCTCCACTTCTACCGAGGCGTGTTCATGGCAAACGCAAAGACAGACCGATCTCTCACCTGTGTCATCTCAGTGAAGGAAAAATCAATTAGAGGAGTGTTTAAGCTGTCATTTCAGGATTGGCTGTTCTGCTGCGTCGCAGAAGCATCTGTAAACACACACATATACATACACACACACACACACACACACACACTAGAAGACTCTGCTGAGGAAAAATATCTTCTCCCCTCTGACAAGCCTGATGGATTTACATTGATGCACATTTCAGGTGCTGACTGTCTGTCATGCAGATATAGTCATGCCATGTCAGCATCTTTTCTCTCACTGATGACTTAGTCGAAAGGTTAACACAAAATCTATACCCTGTGGTACTGAAAATGCATAATTCAAGATACATTTTATATAAACTACATCCAGATAAAAGTATTGACTCATTTGTTATGGTTTATTATTTCCAAATGTTTTAAATAAAATATAGACGTGTTGGATTTATGTGCTGTACTTGACTGAACTAAACGTAGAATAGTTTGCCAGATTCATATTTGAGAATGTAGGGGAAGGTTGTGATGATGTAGTAGCTCTTTCTCAATTAATCTTTCCTCAATTCCTCACATCCTCTCTCCTCGCCTCCTATTCAGATCACATTGGAGAAGGTCCACTTGTAAGTTCTCCTTTAATACAGTTGAGAAGGAGGCGAGGAGATAAGATGAGAGGAATCTTGGAAAGATGAATTAAGACACAGCAGGTGTGTATATGAAGTGTGTGTGTGTGTGTGTGTGTGTGATGTGTTCTCTCCGTTCCTCAGGTGTGTACCGCAGCCTACAGCAGTCCTACAACATCAGTTCCCAGGACGTGCTGACAGCCATGGACTACTGTGAGGAGTCTCTCCAGGAGATAGACATCACTTCCTTCCTCCAGACACTCTGCGGACACATCCGGGAGTTCCGGGAGAGCCATGGAGACGGAGGGGTCAGAGGTCACAGCAGCACCCCTTCCACCATCACCTTCGGAGAGGCAGAGGAGGAAGGGCTTGCCGAGAGGGGACCCATGGCCTCCTCATCCAGGTACTACTGGGACCTACAGAGCTGTTACCCGTTTCAAATATTTGAAATACTTGAGGTGTGTTTTGACTGGTGTGCTTGACTGGCATGTTATCTCCAGCTGGAGCAGCCTTCTACTTGTAATTATCAAATAAATTCCATCAGTCAAACAATCTGGAGTTTGCACTTTTGGGACTATCCCTGACAAATTAAATCAAGGTCACCTGAAGTATTTAAAATATTTGAAACATATTTGACTCAGGTCTGCTACAAAATTATCCTCATGGACACATGGGGAAAGAGCATGTTATCTGACATTGGTCCAGAGCTTAATTTCCCACAAAGTGGGTACATACAAGACCTTTGGGACAAAAACAAACATTTTTGTTTTGTTTTGGTACGTGTTGGGTTCAGACCATTGATTGCCAGTAGTGAATGGTGCTCTATAAGTAAACATGATGACCTTGTATCTGCAAGTATTGAGATGGAGGATGTGAGTGAGGCAGAGTCCAGATGGAAGACCCCGGCCCCCACCTCCCAGCTCGGCCTGGATGAAACCCCCAGGACCACCAGGATACCAGAGTTCCCTCTGTCCCTTCTCCACCTGCAGCAGAAGTGTGAGGTCTACCCTGACCTGCACAAAATCATACAGGTAAACAACCGAAGAATAGATGATGTTGGAATGTAAAGAAAGTAGAAATGGATTGTTACAATTTGATATTCTTGTTATAGAACCGTTTTAAAGATAGCTAATGCCTGTATTCAACAGGACAAATTCATGGAAATTGGGGCTCAGTACTTCAAGACCGTGCCTTCCAATCCCCACTACTTCTACTACTGCCCACCATCATCTAAGAAAGTGGTATGTGTATGTTATAGTGTTGTCACGATACCAAGATTTTACTAATGATACAATACCAGGCCAAGTATCGTGATACCCAGTAGTGTCGCGATACCACGGAGGGAAAAAATTCAGAGTGGCCTAGCATCCTGTTCACTCTGTCCCCCGGACGCTTGTTCCCGTTTTCTATGCAAAAAACCTGTCACTGATATTCACACTTCTGCTCAATACAACGCATATTGAATTAACTTCACACTGTTCACTATATAATAGAATACTTCAAAGAGTGGCTGATTTGCTCATATTTGCGAAGACCTACCTGTGATTTGGCTGGGGGAATGGGAGCAAGGAATATATACTGTACATGCATAATGATCTGCATGTCATTGTGAAAACACTGCATGAAACCTTCTTTATTCTTCAGTTAACCCTCCCTCCCTCCCATAAACACACACTCGCACACCACTCTCGCTTTCCCACAAACACATACACACACTGCTCCCAACTTAAAAAAAGTTAGGCACCAAACAGAATTTAAGGAGCACCAGAAAGAGTATTCCCCCCTGCCCCCCAAAATAAAAACTTTCCTGAACCAACACTGGCACAAGACCCCCCTCCCTCCCCCCTCCCCCCTCCCCTTTCTAACTCTGACTTTGCTGATAGCTACTTTATTGAGGAAAAGTGTACTTACTATGCCTGTGATATGTGGTTGTCCCACCTAGCTATCTTAAGATGAATGCACTAATCTGAGCGTCTGGTAATAAAAATAAAAAAATGACGATGTAGTTTAGGCTTACATTAAGCCTATATGGATCCTACCTTTGAAACACATCTCATGAGTTAGCAGCCTCTTTTCCTTCCACTACCAATCAAATTTGCCTGCTGTCAAGTTACCAGGTTGTTAGCTAGCTAGGTAACATGACTGAACAACGTTGTTTGTTATCAAAACAATTATTAGCGACCCGGGGTTAGTTTAAAACAGCCCACGACATGGTTTGTGAAATTATATACAATTCGCTCAGGAAGAGAAATGGTAGCTCTGGTAATACACTGAGTATACCAAACATTAGGAACACCTTCCTAACATTGAGTTGGCTGGATGTCCTTTGGGTGGTGGACAATTCTTGATACACACGGGAAACTGTTGAGCGTAAAAAACCTGTGCGCCTGGCACCTACTACCATACCCCGTTCAAAGGCACTTAAAAAATTTAAAAAATACCCTCTAAATAGCACACATACTCAATCCATGTCAAAATCCTTATTTAACCTGTCTCCTCCCCTTCATCTACACTGATTGAAGTGGATTTAACAAGTGACATCAATCAAGGATCATAGCTTTCACCTGGATTCACCTGGTCAGTCTATGTCATGTTTTGTATACTCAGTGTATGTCGCTCAGAGGCTGTGCGACAGCGGACTTGTGATTGCAAAGCCTACTCAGACTGGCCTGTGCTCTTGGTGCTCAGGGATGTAGTTCAGTTGGTAGAGCATGGCGTTTGCAACGCCAGGGTTGTGGGTTCGTTTCCCACGGGGGGCCAGTATGAAAATGTATGCACTCACTAACTGTAAGTCGCTCTGGATAAGAGCGTCTGCTAAATGACTAAAATGTAAAAAATGTAAATGTAATGGTTATACCAGGCGATGATGAAATTATACAATATATCAAATTTTTCTTGCTCTGCGCGCTGCTCCAATGTAACAAATGTGCAAATGTAATAACAGAAGATTAATCAGGGTTTGCATCCCCGCTCGCCATCACGGCTCAAATTATATTTAAAAAACTGAGGAATAGATGCGCAGGAAGAGCGGACAGAGAGAAGCAGGTAAGTGAGGGCTGGTAGGGGATGTGGCAGGGCTGATTACAGCTGCCACACATGAGATGCGCATGAAAGTAGATATTTTTGGACTGGGGTATACAAGAGACTAGTTGCTGTTGCTTAAAAAATTTAACTGAATTCATAAACAAAACTGACTGTATAAACAGGCACCAGCTGGTTATTTATATTGGTAGGGCTGAAGAATGTGGTAGTGTCATATGAAACGGTACTACGGTATTCTAAAATGTTGGGATCATGACGTTTTAGTACTGTGATATTACCGTGGTACCGGCATACCGTTCAACACTAGTATGTTATTTTCTATCAATTGCTCTCAGTCTCTGCAGTATGTGTGTATCCACTCTCCAGGATACTGAAGAAAGCACTTGGTGCCGACACGTTGGTTCAGCACTAAATAACTTGGATTGGGAATAACACGGTGCTCTTCCTCCTTTATTTATTGTTCTCATCATGAGGACTCTGATGGGGAAGAGAAGAGACAACCTAGTGAAGAGGTTGTATCAGAGGCTGAGCCTGCTACAGAGGACGGGGAGGATCCTTGTATTTTAGTTGCTTGGATTGCTTGGTGTAACCCCCACCTAATATCATCTACTTAACAATACATCAGATACTCTATACTCATCCTGTGGACCACAGAGTACATGTAGTTAAGGATACATCATAAATCCTGTGTGCTATGTCATAATACTGTGTACTATCTCACCCTTATGTGGGCAGCAGGTAGCCTAGCGATTAAGAGCATTGGGCCAGTAACCGAAAGGTCATTGGTTTGAATCCCAGAGCTGACTAGGTGAAAAATATGTTGATGTGCCCTTGAGCAAGGCACTTAACCCTAATTGCTCCTGTAAGTTGCTCTGGATAAGAGCGGCTGCTAAATGACTATTATTATTTTTATTTGTATAAATTGTAATCCACCTGTGCACCTCAGAGTACATGTCGGGCTGTTGCATCGTGACAGAGAGCGACACAGACCTGGAGGTAGAGTACCAGGAGAGGCCTGGAGGCCGGAGATCCCTAGGGGCAGACGGAGAGGGGGAGGCAGACGGAGAGGGGGAGGATGAGTCCCTGTCTGACTCCAACACCGTGAACCAGGACGAGGACTCATTCAGCATCCTAGAGGGAGACAGCCTGTTGGAGCCAGAGGGGCCACAGCCTGAGATGCCCCCACTGTTCATCCACCTCACCTGCTCTGTTAACATGAAGAGCTGCCATGGATCCATGCCCATAACCACGCTACCCACCTGCCTGGGTGAGTACACACTGCCTCTGCTCTGTACCTGGCACCCCTCACAGCCCTCACAGAATAGACTCAAGACAATAGACAGCATGTGAATCAGACCTGGGTTGAAATAGCTGCACTTTATTGAGTTTGTCTGGCACAATGGAACCAGTGGACTAGTACCAAAAGTGCTAACCCTTCCCATCTGGCAATACAGGCTGGCTCACTCCTACGGTCAAAGTATTTGAAAGACAAAAAATACAATTTGAACCCAGGTCTGGTGTAAAAAGTCTATATTAAATGTCCTGCAGTTTATGTTGAGACCGTGTTATTGCAGGTGAGGTGATCACGTGTCTGGAGAATGCAGAGACCCTGCAGGCTGTGAATCTGAATAATCTGTCTGTCACACTGGACATCTTTGTCCTCACCTTACCCCTGGAGATAGAGGACATGCAATCAGACTTGAGACCCAACAGGTTAGATCCTACTTAAAAATTATGTGGAACGAAAATAGCCCTTTACACTCATACCCGTACAAGGGTTAAAAATGACAGATTTGGCCAATGATAAGCGCCTAAATTGGAACACAGTGGCTGTACAGTAACATGCTATAAGTGACATCAGAGCTCAGGCTCTGCGCTGTATGTGTCTTTTGTTGTTGTTTTTCTATGGTACTTTTACCCCTTTTTCTCCCCAATTTCGTGATATCCAATTGCTAGTTACAGTCTTGTCGCATCGCTGCAACTCCCGTACGGACTCGGCAGAGGCGAAGGTCGAGAGCCATGCATCCTCTGAAACACGACCCTGCCAAGCCGCACTGCTTCTTGACACACTGGTCTCTTAACCCGGAAGCCAGCCGCACCAATGTGTCGGAGGAAACACAGTACAACTAGCGACCGAAATCAGCTTGCAGGTGCCCGGCCTGCCACAAGGATTCGCTAGAGCGCGATGGGACAAGGACATCCTGGCCGGCCAAACCCTCCCCTAACCTGGACGATGCTGGGCCAATTCAGCGCCGCCTCATGGGTCTCCCGGTCACGGCCGGCTGCGACACAGCCTGGGATCGAACCCGGGTCTGTAGTGACGCCTCAAGCACTGCCTTAGACTGCTGCGCCACTCGGGAGGCCCCACTGTATGGGTTTTGACTGACGGACATTCTGAACTTGAGCACTGCTTGCGACAAGAAGTTGCCCCCATCCCTCCCGCTAATTAGGCAACTTTTGCAAATGTTTTGTTGTCCAAGTGAGGGAAATGTTGTAAATTAAGAGGACTCGATGCATTACAAAAGATGAGACGTTGAGGATTATAATAAATACTGTTTTGATGTCATACAACAAGCAAAACGCACATGAGTCCAAATGTGCACTTCACATTTCCATGTCATAAAACTAATGTCATATACAGTGTCAACGTTTATGATCACTATGTTTGATGTATAGTTACAAGATGATATAGCGTTATACCCTGGGTTGTCCTGGGTTGTGAAGAACATTTGCTGTGGAACACGCACCTGAATGCACACGTCTCCTTTCTATGCGCACCAAAATTACAATCTGTTTCTCTGAATTGCACTGTGAAAGCCTAACACTGGAAGATCGTATATAACTTAGCTAGTCATGTTGGCAATAGAACAAGTTTTCAAATGATTCACACCTGACCCAGATTGCGATTTATAACGGGCCGTTTTTGGATTGCGTAAACAACAACAGTAACTGTTATGACGGGGATGCAGGGCTGTGTTCCAAAGAAAACAACTACAAGTGTGCATGCTTTAGTTCCTACAACGCACAACTAGGAAAGCTCAAAAAAACACCTTATAGTTTAAGACTGTTCTTTGAGTCATAAAAGTGCATTGAAATGACTTAGGAACTGTGCCCACTTTGGAGAGGTGTGTGGCCACTTGGAGCCACCAGTTAGTCCTCTCACTTAAACCCTTCTAAGTTTTTGGCCTTATGTTGCACCTACCCCACATTTTCCACGAATATTCTTATCATGTTACTGAATGTATCCTGAGTATTTTCAGATTTCGTTATCAACAAATGCAGTGGAAAGTACAGTAAATGTAAAATGCACAAAATCAACATTGTAATAATGTTTGGATTCAGTCTTGTGTCAGGTGAACTGATGTGTCCTCAGTTTTGGTCTAATCATTTTCACATAATCTCCAAACAGTTCCCTTTCAATTTCTACCATGCCAATGCATATGATTTTCATATTTATTTTGTAAGAAACATTTCAATTTAGCCCTATCCATATAGGCCAAATCCAATGAGTGTAAAGGGTTAAATGACAAAATCAAAAATAATTAGGATTAATTAGTGTTCATATGGGAATGTGCTCTTTGGTTCACTAGGTTTGTGAATAAAATTGAAAAGAACTTGGAGCTTAAACTTGTAGGATATCACTCATCCAAACACACAAAGGTGCTCTTACCGGATACATTATCATTGGATTGATAAGGTGCAATGTGGATGAGCATAACCCTGTGCTGTATACGTTGATCAAACTGCATTTCTTTCACTAGAAGGTGATCATGTTAACTAACGGCCTGCACTCTCTCCAGGTACACGTCAGAGAGCAGTGTCTCTCTGAACCGTTCTCCAGGTCAGCCCTCCTCCTACTGCTCTGATGAGGATGTGATGGGCAACCTGGACAGCCTCAGAGGAGGAGGGTTTGACGGGTGAGTCATTGGGAAGGATGAGAAGAGGAGAAGCCTGGTCCTATATCTGTTTGTGCTGTATAGCCATTGTCAGTTGGCTTTACAGCACAAACAGATCTGGGACCAGGCTAAAGGAGTAGGTGTTGACGGGTGAGTGATCTATAATAATAATAATAATAATAATAATATGCCATTTAGCAGACGCTTTTATCCAAAGCGACTTACAGTCATGCGTGCATACATTTTTTTTTTGTGTATGGGTGGTCCCGGGGATCGAACCCACTACCTTGGCGTTACAAGCGCCGTGCTCTACCAGCTGAGCTACAGAGGACCACCAGGATCTAAAGCGGCAAAATTTTCCTGAGTCAAGATCACTTGCAGTAGGCCTAATACATTATCACAGCATATTGGCTACATGCCTGGCCTGCCAATATTGTTCTTCTCGGACCATATTATATTTAACAACTTTTTTTGGGGCGAGGCACAGCTGAGCATAAATGGAAATAACGTAGTTTTTAATTTTACTGGACTGATGGTCACGGGGCTTTCAAGACAACTGGGACTCTGAAAAAACAAGGTCAAATCATGACGTCAGTGATCTTCAAGTCTGAAAGTCAGAGGTCCGACTTGGAATTCCGAGTTGGGTGACCGTTCAAAATATTTTTTCCAAGTCGGATCTTGTTTTTTTCAGAGTTCCCAGTTGTCTTGAACGCACTGAAGTCGGAAGTCAGAGATTCCTAGTTCCCTGTTGTTTTGAACACGGCATTAGTCTCCCTGCTCTATCGTTCCTTTCCTCCGGTGAGGCTGACCAGAGAAAGGGGACACCCTCTTCCGCCTGATGGCGAAACTCGAGTCGCACCGCATCTGCATCATGCACAAATTCATGTTGTTCCAATGAGCAGAGAAAGTTAATTATTCCTTGATATTAAAATAGACACGATGAGCTGCTAATAATAAAGTGTTGACAGTGCTGAATATTATTTTTCACGTGAACTCACTCATAAAAACAGCAGCTCTTTGCTGTATTCTTTGACGGTCTCTCTATGGTCATGGTTTTAAATCTTATGTAAGCTACTATCAAACTTTGCTGTGGCCGGTGTCGTGGAAGCTGTGTAGGCACAGTGATTTGAGCTATCCGATTGGCCAGTACAGTAGGCGCACTTGATTTGGCCACAGATCTCCCGGTCCGCCGGGTAGGTGGAGTTTGTCTTTTCAGACAAATTCAATTCTTAAAAATGGGAACACTTTACTTACCCGGTGCGCAGGGCTTCTGAATCAAGGGCACCTACCGCCAACAGCACAACACGAATAAGAAAAAAGGAGCGCAAGCCTTTGTCACAGACTTTATCGTTGGCTTTTCTACAGAAATGATAGGTGTTTGACTAGGAATGCCTTGAAGGTCGACCAGTCAATCGCAATCGACCGGTTGGTGACCACTGATCTAAAGGGTAGATTAAAGCATGTTGAGGAGGGTTTGGCTGATGATGACATTTGTCAGCCTGCATGACGATTTCTCTGACCTTACAGTAGTTCATTACTTCTTTATTTCAATAGGGTTGGAGGAGACCCTTTGTCCAAACTCCCAATTCCCCATAAACTTGCCGTGTTAGCCACCATGGATGAGGTAAGTTCAGTCTCTGTACTCTCGATCTTGGAACTCGATCTTGATATGATTTGAGCTAGTCGACCGCTAAATAGCCGGAATTCCTCTGTCACTGAGCTACAGATTTCAGGCCCATTCACTCAGCTCTCCCTGTTGCCTCTCGCTGTAGATCCGTTGGCTCCTGGAGGATGAGATCGTGTCAGCTCTGCGTCACTCCCGGGTCATCAGCTCGTCCACGCTACAGAAGGTGGCGGATCACGTGTTTCGCTCAGGCGGGCGACCACGCTGTCACTGTGAGGTCGTTCCCCTGCAGTTTGTTTTCGGCCCTGAGCAGTCCCTGGAAAAGTTCAGAGGTAGGCTGGGAGGGTGACCAGGAGGTGTGACAACTGTTCTTCTTTCATATGAGAGGTGAATTTCTGTCGTTTTTTCTAGTGGGGTCAATACGTTTTTCCCATCATTAGGAACCTTGCATGTTTGTTGCACACCCAAGTTCTACTCTGTCAATTGCTTTTAAATAAGGAAAATTGGTATTGGAATTTCAGTTTACTTCCTGGATTGAGATGGAACTGATCCTTAACCCTTGAATCTTACCCTGAACAGGAGTTCCATAGCATGTCATTCTCAGGTTACCTGCTGAACAGAGAGCAGGACAACTTCCACTACATGTCTCTGAGTAGACTCCACCCACAGAGGATCCAGGCTGCTAAGAGGCTGTCTGAGAGCACTGTTAACACTGAGGTGGCGGGACAGGCCTCCCAACCCACCAATCACTGTGCTGATGTGGACGACAGTACCAGGGCTCTGTCCAATCATGGTGCACCAGGAAGAAGACCTGACCACAAAGCAGAGGTGGAGAGGGTGGAGCTAGACAGTGAGGTTTGTCAAACTTTTTTGGGGGAGGTTCAACCTAACCAACTAAACTCAGCAAAAAAAGAAATGTCCCCTTTTCAGGACCCTGTCTTTCAAAGATAATTCGTAAAAATCCAAATAACTTCACAGATCTTCATTGTAAAGGGTTTAAACACTGTTTCCCATGCTTGTTCAATGAACCATAAACAATTAATGAACATGCACCTGTGGAACGGTTGTTAAGACACTAACAGCTTACAGACGGTAGGCAATTAAGGTCACAGTTATGAAAACGTAGGACACTAAAGAGGCCTTTCTACTGACAAAAGAAAAATGCCCAGGGTCCCTACTCATCTGCGTGAACGTGCCTTAGGCATGTTGCAAGGAGGCATGAGGACTGCAGATGTGGCCAGGGCAATAAATTGCAATGTCCGTACTGTGAGACGCCTAAGACAGTGCTACAGGGAGACAGGACCGACAGCTGATCGTCCTCGCAGTGGCAGACCACGTGTAACAACACCTGCACAGGATCGGTACATCCGAACATCACACCTGCGGGACAGGTACAGGATGGCAACAACAACTGCCTGAGTTACACCAGGAACGCACAATCCCTCCATCAGTGCTCAGACTGTCCGCAATAGGCTGAGAGAGGCTGGACTGAGGGCTTATAGGTCTGTTGTAAGGCAGGTCCTCACCAGACATCACCGGCAACAACGTGGCCTATGGGCACAAACCCACCGTCGCTGGACCAGACAGGACTGGCAAAAAGTGCTCTTCACTGATGAGTCGCGGTTTTGTCTCGCCAGGGGTGATGGTTGTGTCAGTCGTTCGCGTTTATCGTCGAAGGAATGAGCATTACACCGAGGCCTGTACTCTGGAGCGGGATCGATTTGGAGGTGGAGGGTCCGTCATGGTCTGGGGCGGTGTGTCACAGCATCATCGGACTGAGCTTGTTGTCATTGCAGGCAATCTCAACGCTGTGCGTTACAGGGAAGACATCCTCCTCCCTCATGTGGTGCCCTTCCTGCAGGCTCATCCTGACATGACCCTCCAGCATGACAATGCCACCAGCCATACTGCTCGTTCTGTGCGTGATTTCCTGCAAGACAGGAATGTCAGTGTTCTGCCATGGCCAGCGAAGAGCCCGGATCTCAATCCCATTGAGCACGTCTGGGACCTGTTGGATCGGAGGGTGAGGTCTAGGGCCATTCCCCCCAGAAATGTCTGGGAACTTGCAGGTGCCTTGGTGGAAGAGTGGGGTAACATCTCACAGCAAGAACTGGCAAATCTGGTGCAGTCCATGAGGAGGAGATGCACTGCAGTACTTAATGCAGCTGGTGGCCACACCAGATACTGACTGTTACTTTTGATTTTGACTCCCCCTTTGTTCAGGGACACATTATTCAATTTCTGTTAGTCACAAGTCTGTGGAACTTGTTCAGTTTATGTCTCAGTTGTTGTCACGGCCGTCTACGGAAGGAGTGGACCAAAGCGCAGCGTTTGTAGCGAACATGACTTTATTAAAGTTAAAGTGCACGAACGAGAAAACAATAAACAATGACGGATAGTGAAGTCCTCAGTACACAGACTGAAACATGGAACAAAAACCCACAACCCCAAAGTGAAAACACACAGTATAAATATGGCTCCCAATCAGAGATAACGAGCCGACAGCTGACACTCGTTACCTCCGATTGGGAGTCACTCAAATCAAACATAGACATCGACAACCTAGAACACCCAACATAGAAAATGAACCCATAGAATGCACACACCCTGGCTCAACATAATGAGTCCCAGAGCCAGGGTGTGACAGTACCCCCCCCTAAAGGCGCGGACTGCGACCGCGCCTCAACTAACCAAAACAGGGGAGGGCTGGGCGGGCATACCTCCTCGGTGGCGGTTCTGGCTCCGGCCTTGATCCCCACCTCCTCTCCAACCCCCCAAAGTACCCCTGGTCCTGTCTAGCCCCGCTGGCCGGAGCCGGACTGACGACACGCGCCCCTGGCTTGGTGCGTGGAGGACGAACGGGCCTTACCAGGCTGACGACGCGCACCACTGCCTTGGCGCGGGGAGCAGGAATGGGCCGGACCGGGCTGACGAAGCGCACCCCTGACTTGGTGCGGAGAGCGGGACCGGGCCGGACAGGGCTGACGAAACGCACCACAGACTTGGTGCGGGGAGCAGGAACGTGCCGGACAGGGCTGACGACACGCACCACAGACTTGGTGCGGGGAGCAGGACTGGGCCGGACAGGGCTGACGAAACGCACCACCAACTTGGTGCGGGGAGCAGGAACGGGCCGGACTGGGCTGTCGACGCACACCGTCGACTTGGTGCGTGGAGCAGGAACGGGTCGGGCAGGGCTGTCGACGCACACCGTAGACTTGGTGCGGGGAGCAGGACTGGGCCGGACAGGGCTGTCGACGCACACCGTAGCCTTGGTGCGTGGAGCAGGAACAGGTCGGGCAGGGCTGTCGACGCACACCGTAGACTTGGTGCGGGGAGCAGGACTGGGCCGGACAGGGCTGTCGACGCACACCGTAGCCTTGGTGCGTGGAGCAGGAACAGGCCTCACCGGACTGTGGAGACGGATAGGAGACCTGGAGCGAAGAGCGGCCACCACCCGTCCTGGCTGGATGCCTACCCTCACACACTCTGCGTGAGGCATCCGCACAGAACGTACAGGGCTGTGAACCCGTACCGACATGACAGCACGCGATACGGGAGCAGGATATCCGGGACCGCGGAGAGGCACTGGAGACCTCGAGCGTAGATCCGGCACACTCCGTCCTGGCTGCATCCCCCCCTTCGCACGACACGTGCGGGGTGCTTGCACAGGACGTACAGGACTGTGCCGGACCACTCGTGGCACAGTACGCTGCTCCGCATACCGCGGAACCTGCCCCGTCTCATGCTGCCATGCCTGAGTACGGGAAGTTGGTTCCGCTCTACCTCCAGGCCTCGCCAACCTGCCTTCTGCCTCCCAACACCCGGTGACCACCTCTCCAAAACGTCCTGTAGCAGCCGCCTGCTGCCCAGCCGCCCAAGCCATGTGCCCCCCCCAAAATTTTTTTTGGGGTTGCCTCTCTTCCATCCGACGTTGGCCCTGCTGACGCCGTTGCTCCTCTCCTGCCAGGTTCTCCCCCTTCATCGCCCTCCGGTACCGGACGGCCTCCTCCTGCGTAATATGTCCCCAGCCGAGGAGGACATCCACCAGCGTTCTCTCCTGCGGGTGTTCCTGTATACGCTGCTTGGTCCTTTTGTGGTGGGTTTTTCTGTCACGGCCGTCTACGGAAGGAGTGGACCAAAGCGCAGCGTTTGTAGCGAACATGACTTTATTAAAGTTAAAGTGCACGAACGAGAAAACAATAAACAATGACGGATAGTGAAGTCCTCAGTACACAGACTGAAACATGGAACAAAAACCCACAACCCCAAAGTGAAAACACACAGTATAAATATGGCTCCCAATCAGAGATAACGAGCCGACAGCTGACACTCGTTACCTCCGATTGGGAGTCACTCAAATCAAACATAGACATCGACAACCTAGAACACCCAACATAGAAAATGAACCCATAGAATGCACACACCCTGGCTCAACATAATGAGTCCCAGAGCCAGGGTGTGACAGTTGTTGAATCTTGGTATGTTCATACAAATATTTACACATGTTAAGTTTGCTGAAAAGAAACGCAGTTGACAGTGAGGGGACGTTTCTTTTTTTGCTGAGTTTAGTTTATTTCCATGCATCCTCTTTTATGGTCTTTCGAGCTGGATTAAGGTTTCCTATCTTTTTAATGTTTTATTTTTGAATAAATGCAATTTGTATGATTTAATGAATGGATGGATGAATGTGTATGAGTTTGAACTGAATTCATTATTCTATATGTTACCTTCTTTCCCTCCATGTGCAGGGAGAAGAGAAGACGCCTGCCGTCGGAGCTTTTAGTGAATCTGGTAGTGACCCAGCCCAGGACCCCAGCAACCCTCCAGCCAAACCCACCCGGGCTGATTCAGAAGAGGGCCCCAGACCTCGGTTGAGCTCAGTCGGTGCCACCTCCACAGCGGCGGGGGATAGACCCCGGGTGAGTTCTGTTGGTGCCTCCACCGGCCGACCCCGACTGAGCTCTGTAGGCAGAGGAGGAGAGGTGATGGGACCTCAGCTGAGCTCTGTAGGCTCCTCCTTCACGGCCATGGGGGATCGAGGCCAGCTCACCACCCCTCAACTCCAGCACAGCACCAGCACCGACCGCTCCTCAGAATACACCACGTCCCCCAAGACCCCCTCCACAGTCAGCCTGGCCGAGTCGGTGCAGTCCACCACCCACAGTGAGTGTTCCTGTCCCCCAGAGCCCAGACCCAGACAACATCTAGGACCTTTAGTATTGAGATGTTACAGCTACACTGCTGGGTGGTGTTCAGTAGGGAGGATTTTTTTTTAAAACAAAGTGCAACAGGGAGGCTCGCTGTTTTGCAACGGTGTGATACTGAATACAAACCTGTGGTGTAGAATGACAGAAACTAATGATACATAATGACAGAAACCATTCACATGGTGGCTTCCTACTGTCCTGTATGTTTGCCCATACTGTGTTTTAATGGAACCATGCTGTGACCTGCCATATCTCCCTGCAGAGGAGAGATTACTATTTCAGTGATCATCAGCTCTTTGACTGTGTGTGTAAGTGTGTATATATGTGTATATGTGTGTGTCTGTGTGGAGTGTCTCTTGCGAGGCTGGCTGTGTGACAGATACTGACACACCAATGAGGAGTGTGTGAGTGAGTGAATCTTCGGCAGTCTCTTAAGTCTGTTGGCTGAGCTGGCAGCTTTACCACTTGTCTACCCCTAAGGCTGTTTTTTCCCTCTCCCTCTCCATTCCCAAATCAACAGGCTGAGCTGACAGACATAATATTACTTGAGATGACCCCCCCCCCCCCCCCCACTCTCTTCTCTCTAGGGTACGTGTTCCAACACTGAGGTGGGGAGACTCCGAGGGCCTTCCAGAGTAGAGGCGGAGGGAGGAGGAGAAAGCCCTGAGGGTCTTAGTCATGTCTCTGACAGTCTAAGATAGTGGGCTTCTGGAGATGAATGTCTGCTACCTCAGGTGAATTTGTTGTGGTGTAAAACTGTAAAACCTGTCTCCTCCTCAGGTAGTGGGAAGCTGAGGCCCAGCAGAGTACAGAGTGTGGTCTCCAGTCAAGGCAGCCTGGACTCTGACATGCTGGGTAAGAGATGGACATTATAGTGATGATGATGATAGTGATGATCTTTATCACAATGATGATAATAATACCGATGGTGGTGACAATCATGATGATGATGATGCTGCTAATGAAAGCTAATAAAACATTTGTACCTGTATATTTGTAGGTTATGATGGTGGCAGCAGTGACTCAGAGTGTGAGAGCCCCACTATGGAAGAACAAGAGTCCCAGTCCCCCCTGGTGCCTGACTTCTGGCTCATCGTTAAGATCCACCAGGACAGAGTAGAGGTGTACTCCCACCCCAGGTGAGAGAGGGGAGGGGCTTAGAGAGGACACTGATCCAGATCATAACTGCTGCTCACCTTCAGCCATTTAGAATGTTCAGTGTGCCATCTTACATGACACGATTGTTGCATAATGATTCCATAATTTATTTATACAGGTTATTCTCATTGAGATAAAAATCTATTTAGTAAAAGAGACCTGTAAGATATATATATTCGTCATGGAATATTGTTTACAGGAGCTTCAACGAAGGGAAGGAGGACGGAGTGGGTGGGGGGGGGGGATCTGCCGTATAGTCAATCAGGTAGGTTACACTCCTTTATGTGATTGTGATCCTCTGTTTGTTTGACCTTAATAAAAACGTTTCAATTGTTCGAAAAGGGTAGGTTACACTCTCACCCATGAAGACATTTCTGCCATTTTAATGCTTATATATAGAGTGTCCACCCATTCTGCCCAGAGTGGGTGAAAACGTGCTTTGGTGATGAAATTTTACTTCCTTATGTTATCAAATACATTTTACCAAGACAAATATGATTATTCATGTTCTGAATCGTTCGTCTTTCTCTAACATATCATTATCGAATTTCATAACCTAATGCATCTGATAATAAACACCAAACTCGGTTGACATAGCAGTGCAGGTTTCTCGTAAAAACGTTTGAGGATTTTACATCTTGTGGTGGTCGTCTTCAAAGTTGTTTCCGTGGGTCGCAAAAAGCTAAATTAGCATGACACAAGCTGAATAAAATAAAATAAAAATGTAAAAAAAAAGCTTGGTATAAGCTCAGTGCTCCGTTGACATTTCAGAGATACATTTGTTTTTGTGAGAAATCTTTCAACTTAATATGAAAAGCGTATACTAAAATATGAAAATACTACATGTCATGTCTGGAAATCAATATACATCTTACATCTTACCTCTATTGTTTTATGTCCTGTTGATTCGAGAAGAAAGATGACGAGTTCAATGGGAAAGTGAGCCTGTCAGCTAGCCATGCAGCCTTAATTCTTGCAGAGAATCCACCTAGATGATGCGATGCAATTTTTCAGATTTTTGAACATCTTTTTTTTCTTTGACCTCCATTGATTTAGTCACCCTAATTCTGGCCATCCTACAAGGGTAAAACCACCAATAACTTTTGAACTGATTATGATAGAGACATGAGGTTTGCACCATTGGCTTTCTTAGAGGATTCTCAAAATTAACATAGTATTTTACCCATTGGTCAAAAAATTATTTTTGATTGGACACCCTATTACAGTGGGGAAAAAAAGTATTTAGTCAGCCACCAATTGTGCAAGTTCTCCCACTTCAAAAGTTGAGAGAGGCCTGTAATTTTCATCATAGGTACACGTCAACTATGACAGACAAAATGAGAAAAAAAATCCAGAAAATCACATTGTAGGATTTGTAATGAATTTATTTGCAAATTATGGTGGAAAATAAGTATTTGTTCAATAACAAGTCTCTCAATACTTTGTTATATACCCATTGTTGGCAATGACACAGGTTAAACGTTTTCTGTAAGTCTCACAAGGTTTTCACACACTGTTGCTGGTATTTTGGCCCATTCCTGCATGCAGATCTCCTCTAGAGCAGTGATGTTTTGGGGCTGTCGCTGGGCAACACGGACTTTCAACTCCCTCCAAAGATTTTCTATGGGGTTGAGATCTGGAGATGGCTAGGCCACTCCAGGACCTTGAAATGCTTCTTACGAAGCCACTCCTTCGTTGCCCGGGCGGTGTGTTTGGGATCATTGTCATGCTGAAAGACCCAGCCACGTTTCATCTTCAATGCCCTTGCTGATGGAAGGAGGTTTTCACTCAAAATCTCACGATACATGGCCCCATTCATTCTTTCCTTTACACGGATCAGTCGTCCTGGTCCCTTTGCAGAAAAACAGCCCCAAAGCATGATGTTTCCACCCCCATGCTTCACAGTAGGTATGGTGTTCTTTGGATGCAACTCAGCATTCTTTGTCCTCCAAACACGACGAGTTGAGTTTTTACCAAAAAGTTCTATTTTGGTTTCATCTGACCATATGACATTCTCCCAATCCTCTTCCGGATCATCCAAATGCACTCTAGCAAACTTCAGACGGGCCTGGACATGTACTGGCTTAAGCAGGGGGACACGTCTGGCACTGCAGGATTTGAGTCCCTGGCGGCGTAGTGTGTTACTGATGGTTGGCTTTGTTACTTTGGTCCCAGCTCTCTGCAGGTCATTCACTAGGTCCCCCCGTGTGGTTCTGGGATTTTTGCTCACTGTTCTTGTGATAATTTTGACCCCACGGGGTGAGATCTTGCGTGGAGCCCTAGATCGAGGGAGATTATCAGTGGTCTTGTATGTCTTCCATTTCCTAATAATTGCTCCCACAGTTGATTTCTTCAAACCAAGCTGCTTACCTATTGCAGATTCAGTCTTCCCAGCCTGGTGCAGGTCTACAATTTTGTTTCTGGTGTCCTTTGACAGCTCTTTGGTCTTGGCCATAGTGGAGTTTGGAGTGTGACTGTTTGAGGTTGTGGACAGGTGTCTTTTATACTGATAACAAGTTCAAACAGGTGCCATTAATACAGGTAACGAGTGGAGGACAGAGGAGCCTCTTAAAAGAAGAAGTTACATGTCTGTGAGAGCCAGAAATCTTGCTTGTTTGTAGGTGACCAAATACTTATTTTCCACCATAATTTGCAAATATATTCATAAAAAATCCTACAATGTGATTTTCTGGATTTTCTTTTCTCAATTTGTCTGTCATAGTTGACGTGTACCTATGATGAAAATTATAGGCCTCTCTCATCTTTTTAAGTGGGAGAACTTGCACAATTGGTGGCTGACTAAATACTTTTTTCCCCCACTGTATATAGCAACAATAAAGTGCAGTCCTAGCCATTAGACCTCCCTCTCTCTGTGTAGTTGGCGCTGTTCAACCTCTAAAGCTATTCAAATGTCCACAGTAGCATACCACTTATAACAAAGCAATCACATTCTAAGTAGTATGCTAGTGTGGATATTCGAACAGGCACGAACTCTCTCCTCTATCTGTCTCTCCTCTATCTATCTATCTCTCCTCTCCTCTGTCTCTCCTCTCTGCTCTGTTTCTCCACAGCGTCTGCTACTCCAAGACCTTAATGACAGCCACGTGTGTAACTCTCTCCTGGTGGCAGAGAGTGAAGAGGATATCTGGAAGAACGAGTCCCTGCACAGACTGAGACTGGCAAACTCTGACGGTTAGTCAGTCAACACTCACGATCACTATTATCTGCACACACTTATACACATGCTACAGACACACTTGCCAACTCTGACAGTCAGTTAGTTAGTCAACACTCACCAACACACACATACATAGTTCACCCTCCCCCCCCAAAAAAAATATTATGGTAAGGAAACAAATGTCATTTAGAAATTTGGTCTAACTTTCTTTAGGACAGGGGTGGGCAACATATGGCCCACGGGCCGGATCCGGTCCACTAGCCATTCAATCTGGCACACAGGAAGTTTGAGTACATTTTTTAAATATATTTTGGGTTTTTAAAAAACACCAGGCCACTCTTGAACGTCTAAAACTAGATTTAAAGTATGTAGAAATTATAATGGATCTATATATTTACAAATAACTGTATTTGTCTGGCCCGCAAATTGCCCCTAAAATACTTGTACCCCCCTTTTTCTCCCCAATTTCGTCATATCCAATTTCGATCTTGTCTCATCGCTGCAACTCCCCAACGGGCTCGGGAGAGACGAAGGTCGAGTCATGCGTCCTCCGAAACATGACCCGCCAATCCGCGCTCCGTAACACCCGCCCGCTTAACCCGGAAGCCAGCCGCACCAATGTGTCGGAGGAAACACCCTTCAACTGACAACCGAGGTCAGCCTGCAGGCGCCCGGCCCGCCACAAGGAGTCGCTAGAGCACGATGAGCCAAGTAAAGCCCCCCCGGCCAAACCCTCCCCCTCCCCCGGACAACGCTGGGCCAATTGTGCGCCGCCCTATGGGACTTTCGGTCACGGCCGGTTGTGACACAGCCTGGGATGGAACCCAGGTCTGTAGTGACCCCCCAAAGCACTGCGATGCAATGCCTTAGACTGCTGCGCCACTCGGGAGGCCCGCTGAATTTTGTTTATCCCGATATGGCCCTCGAGCCAAAATGATTTCCCATCCCTGCTTTAGAAGGGCTCTCCAATAAATTTTTGCAAACACCATAAACTTAATGTGCATCATATGTATGCCCTTGATGGCACCAAGTTTGTCATTGTACAGTACACAAGTTAATAATGCATTGCACTTTCTTGGCCCTGTGAGCTCCAAACTGTCACAGTGATAATGGAGCACAATCAATACAGGGCCAAGGAGAAGGAAACTCACTCACACTCTCTCTCTCTAACGTACGCAAGGTTACAGGGAAGAGCATCAGTGACAGGCCATTGAAGTATGCTTGGAGAGGGGAGCAGTGGGAACGCTCATTAGATTCACTTTATATTTTATGGCAGCCGTTAAGCCAGAATTACCAACTGTAATTTCCTAATATCGCTGATTGTTTTGCTCCAGTGTGTGTAAATGAATTGGATCCTGTAGAGGGTATAGACATCAGAGAGGGCTTGTTGTTTGTGACTGCAGTGCAATAACATAATGTTACTGGGGAAGGGAAGAGGCTCCCAGAACAAATTGTGCTGTTTCTTTTCCTGGCTGGCGTCACACTGAAATGCGTCCTCCCTCTCTCCTCTGCAGTTGTGGTTGTAAATTATTTTATCTCTCTCTCGCTCGCTCGCTCGCTCGCTCCCCTCTTCTCCACCCACCAGCAGATTACAATGCAGAGGAGACCTACCAGCCGCGGGACTACCTTGCCGCCACCATGCAGTTCATCCCAGGTCACTTTGCCTGTGAGGTGGTGTGGAGCACTGTCATCCACATCCACCCTCGCCTCAAGATGGGACCCAACATGTGTGTGTCCAGGGGTAAGTCAGTGCCACTCGCAAAATATAGAACAAAAATGTGTTTGGGCATGCAGAGAAATAAAGACCACTGACAGAGTAAGACGTAATGTCTTCATGACCATTAACAATAACATGTTGATCCTGAATTGTACTTTAAATATGCCAAAATTACTATACATATGACAATTATGTGGAAATGATGATGAATAGGAAAATTAATGAGTTCCTTTACTTAAAGGAGCAGTGTGGTCAAAAACATGATTTTTCTGTGTTTTATTTATATTTCCACACTATGAGGTTGGAATAATACTGTGAAATTGTAAAAATGTTGATAATGCCCTTTTAGTGTAAGAACTGTTTGAAAATACCTCCTGAAATTTCAGCCTGTTTGCATGGGTGGGGGTTTTGGACGGCCTGGTGACGTCACCGGGCGATATAAGTTAATAGACTAATAACGAAGAGAGTTTGCCCTCCTCTCTGCCAATAACAGTTAGTTTTCAGGTTACATATCCCTCCCATTACGCTCCTCCAATTAGGCCCTTAACTCAGGCCACTCCTACACAGTCCTAGCAATATTTTTGCTTGAGAAATTGCTTTTTGCTAAGAAGCTATTTTTGTTTCTTTTTGACCATTTTAATTGGAAGAAAATCACAGTACTTAATTGTTACCCACAAATAATTTGAAATTGAGATAACAACTGCTGCGTTGGTCCTTTTTAAAATACTTATCATTTTAATATGATGGATTCAATACAATCAGTGTCAGTATAATTGAGATGGTTTGCTCAGTAACTTTATTTGTGTTGAAAGACTCTCTTCTCCTCTCCATATCCCAGCTATCCAGGCTCTGCGGTCAGTGCTCAACGCCATGTGTGTGGTTAACAGGAAGAGCATGTTTGTCTATCAGGAGCGCACCACCAAATCAGTCTTCTACCTCCGGTTAGCCCTGGTGCCCCCCTTATTCTTACGCCACTGCCTCCCCTCTCATTGTAGAACAGTCCCACCTCTTCATAGGCACTTATCTCTGCTGCATCCAACCCTGCACCCAAAGACTTGTTGAAAGAATTGAGTTGAGCATGCCAATTCTTGATTATGCATCTTAAAGTTCCCTCACCCCCAACATATTCCCATGATCTCTCTTCTTCCCAGACTTTCTGAGATGTCACAAACAGGGAAGTACTCTGACCTGGATGGCAACCTGCGCCCCATGTCTCGCTGTGTCGGCCTCGCCCGGAGCCAGGAGCCCCTCTTCTCTGAGGACCTCACGGTACAGTAGCACACTTACAGAGGGTTTCTCTATTGGTCAACAAGAAACTGTGGCCCTGAAGAACCATTAGGGCTCTATACTCTGAGGATCCCAATATACAGTAGCTCATAGTGGATTTCTCTATTGAAGTGTAGGCAGCTGTGGCCCTGAGAAACCATGAGGGCTCTGAAGTGGTGTCACCACTACATGATTTATCTGCTGTTCCCGGAACTGTGGTAACCTGCCCTTGGGTTAGAGAGGATTGTGGGTTGTTACTGTCAAATATCTGCAGTGGTCTGACGTGTTTCTGCGTGTGTGTCTTTCTGTGCGTGCGTGCATGTGTCTGTGTTTTACTCTGTCCGTCAACAGGGCTCCCGGTCATTTCTGGAAGGTGCTCGGCCAGTGGGACAGGTGGACAAACACATCCTGTTGCTGGTGCATGGAGTGGGAAGTGCTGGTAAGACAGGGATTTGGAGAGAGAGGGGAAGAGAGGGGCTCAGGGGGCTCGGGGAACATTGGGACAGAATCCTGCAGTGTATGGATTGTGAGCAGAGGTAGCATAATGAGAGATTGACTGAAGGAAAGGGCTGAGGCTGGAGTTAAAAACTGAAGTTAGGACTAAGAAACCTCTCAGTGCACCTCTGTGTCACCTCTCAGTGCATTCCCACTCTGAGATAAATGTGCCCACACTACTGTCCTCCTGACAAACTTAAGAGTAAAATATATTAATTGTGGGTTGCAAATAGTGTGAACATTCTGTACGCTGTGCTGCAGTACCTCTAACAGCATGCTAGATGGCACTGTTGATCTTGCTCCATCTAGCTCTGCCCAGGCTTCATCTATGACGTCAGCTGTTTCTCTCTGAAAGTCTTTCTGAGCTTCAACAACAAGAGTGACTTATTAAAATCTTCCCAAGTTTTTTTTCTCTCCCCCACAACTGTTCATACAGCTCAACTTCTTTATTTATGAATTCCTTTGTTTACAGAGAGTTGAACATTTCTTGAAGTGTGTGTATGTGTTTCTATGCAACGTTTGTTTCTAAGGCTCCAGATACCATTTGTATGTCTCAGTGTCCAGAATGAAGGAAGTTAGCGGTAGTTTCGCGAGCCAATGCTAACTAGCGTTAGCGAAATGACTGGAAGTCTATGGGTATCTTCTAGCATGCGCTAGCGCTTCAAACTGCACGCAGAGACCCACAAGTTCATATGACGCTGGGGAAGTAGATAAAGGGCCTCATTGCCAAAATCCCGAAGTATCCCTTTAAAGAAGCAGCTGTTGTAGAGCTGAAAAGAGGCAGCCGAGTCAGGTCTGAGGCCAGGGTGACAGGCTTTAAAATCTGACCTCTCCTCATCTCCTCCCCATCATCTGCACTGATGGGAAAAAGACTTGACAGGTGAAAACAGTATGGTGGACGCTCATCATTAGGCTGGCTTTCACCTGGTCAGAGCGATGAAGCAGAGGAGGTGAGGAGAGGATGGGTTTTTTGGGTGGCAATTGGAAAAGAGCCATGGTTTGAGGTCTATTCTCCTGACCCCTGCCTCTGCCTGGTCTGCAACACAGGTCCGGAGATCACAGATGAGCTGGTGAAGGTTCTGAAGAAGCGTCTGGATGAGACAACCCTGGACATCATCACCATCATGCTGGGCAGGAACTGCAAACTCACCCCCGCTGACGTGGAGGTAAATGATTTGGTGCATTAGCGTCACTTATTCCTTTGATGAATCAAGTTTGGGTCATTCTGTGGTGGGAGGGGCTAGTTCAAATCTAGCTACTTCCAACCCCAGAAGTAGAGTTGACTTGTACACATGCGATGTGGTTCTGAATCTCTCGTGGAAAGACCACGTAGCATTACACAGTATTTAGTAGGAATGGGAGAGACATGGTGGTTGATTATGTGTTGATGTTCTCCCCTCAGTTTATCCAGCCGTCAGGCTCTCCAGCCACTGAGGTGATGGAGTTTACTCTACCGCAGTGCTTCATTCCCTGGACCCATGCTGTGGCCCACTACCTCAGGCAGAACCTGCTGATCTTCCTCCACATCCCCAAGTACACAGACAGCTACGTAGAACACCACTTCAAGGTAGGCTACACCACTAGTATACTATACTAAACTAGTACACAGACAGCTACGTAGAACACCACTTCAAGGTAGGCTACACCACTAGTATACTATACTACACTAGTACACAGACAGCTACGTAGAACACCACTTCAAGGTAGGCTACACCACTACTATACTACACTGCACTAGTACACAGACAGCTACATCGAACACTACCACAAGGAAGGCTACAGCCAAGCCTACAGACAGTAGGGGCAAAATCCAGAAGTGAAGGTGTGTATTAAGTCCCACCTCATCAACCGACTGCTACATGCCAAGCCTTACAATCAGATAGAGAAAGCATATGGGATTGTTGATCCTCTGTTGGTTTGACCTTAATTTAAAACGTTTTCAATTGTTCGAAAATAAAGGGGTAGGTTACAACCTACCCAGAAGACAGTTCTGCCTTTTAATGCTTATAATGAGGTCCAACCCAGTATGCCCAGAGTGGGTGGGGTGGACAAACAACAGTGTTTGGTGATGAAATTTTACTTCCTTATGTTATCAAATACATTTTACCAAGACAATATGATTAGCAGTTTTCTGAATTCGTCCGTCTTTCTCTAACATATCTTATCGAATTTCATAACCTACGAATCTGATAATAAACACCAAACTCGGTTGAAATAGCGCAGTTGCAGGTTTCTCGTTAAAAACGTTTGAGGATTTTTTGAGGATTTATTTTACATCTTGTGGTGGTCGTCCTTCTTCAACGTTGTTTCCGTGAGGTCGCAAAAGCTAACAATTCGAAGACACAGTCTCTCTGAACTAAAATAAAATAAACATAAAAATGTAAAAAAAAAAGCTTGGGTTATTTTGATCATTGCCCCCGTTGACCTTCAGAGATACTTTGTTTTGTGAGAAATCTTTCAACTTAATATGAAAAGCGTATATAAAATATCTTTTTTTTCTTTTGAAAAGACTTACCACTCAACCCTGTTTAGGTCTGGCAAATCAGTTTAGATTTTTTTATTATCTTACAATACCTCTATTTGTTTTATTGTCCTGTTTGATTTCCGAGGAAAGAAGAAAGATGAGCAAGTTCAACGTGAGAGTTCAATGGGGAAAGTGAGCCTGTCAGCTAGCCATGCAGCCTTATTCTGCAGAGAATTCCACCTAGATGATTTGGTCTGCGATTGCAATTTTTTTTTCAGAATTTTGAACATCTTTTTTTTTATTTGACCTCCATTGATGTAGTACCCTAATTCTGGCCATCCCTTACAAGGGTAAAACCACAATAAACTTGAAATGATTATGATGTGATAGACGACCTGAGGTGTTTTGTTTTTGTGCACCAATTGGCGCTTTCTTAGAGGATTCTCAAAATTAACATAGTATTTTACCATTGGTCTAAAAAATTTATTTTGACTCGGAAAACCTATGATCAGTGGGGAAAAAAAGTATTTGTCAGCCACCAATTGTGGTGAAAGTTTCTCCCACTTCAAAAGTTGAGAGAGGCCTGTAATTTTCATCATAGGTACACACACGTCATTTTTTATCTAACGATGACCAGAACAAAATGAGAAAAAAAACAACATGAGAAAAAAAAATCCAGAAGCAGAGAAAGAAAGAAAGGGGAGAAGGAAAAATCACATGTGTAGGATTTAATGAATTTTTTGCAAATTAGGTGGAAAATAATAATTTGTTCAATAAAAAGTCTCTCAATTTACTTTGTTATTATATACCATTGTTGGACAATGACACAGGTTTTTTAAACGTTTTTCTGTAAGTCTCTCACAAGGGTTTTTTTTTGGTTTTTTCACACACTGTTTGTTGCTGGTATTTTGGCCCCCCATATTCCTGCAGGCAGATCTCCTCTAGAGCAGTGATCTGTTTTGGGGATGGGGCTGTCGCTGCGGTGGGGCAAACACGGACGCAACTCCTCCAAAGATTTTCTATGGGGGTTGTGAGGGGTGAGATTGGAGATGGCTAGCCACTCCAGGACCTTGTGATGAAATGCTTCTTACGACAGCCCACTCCTTCGTGCAAGTGCGGTTTTTGTGTTTGGGATCCTTGTCAATGCTGAAAAGAACCCAAGACAAGGTTTCATCATCAATGTTGTTGAACTTTGATGAATGGAATATTGGAAGGAGAGGTTTTGTTCCCCGGTGGTTGGACTGGAAGGAGGGCCTGGTGTGGGTTGGGGGTTGGTTTCACTCAAAAATTCTAAGATACATATGGCCCCCATTCATTCTTGCATTTACACGGACGGCGTCCTGGTCCCTTTGCAGAAAAACGCCACAAAGCATGTTGTTTTCCACCCCCAGATTCACAGTAGGTTGGTGTTCTTGGACTGCAACCCTCAGCATGCTTTGTCCTCCCAAACACGACGAGTTGAGTTTTTACCAAAAGTTCTAGTTCTATTTTGGTTCATCTGGACCATATGACATTCTCCAATCCTCTTACGGGATCATCCAAATCCAAATGCACTCTAGCAACTCAGACGGCCGGGGACATTACTGGATTAAGCAGGGGGACACGTATGGCCAATGCAGGATTTGATTTGTATTTTTAGTCTCCGGCGGCGTAGTGTCCCCCCCGTAGTGTTCGTCCGTAGTGTTAGTTGTGTGCTCTGATGGTTGGCTTTGTACTTTGGTCCCTCCCAGCCTCTGCAGGTCATTCACTAGGTCCCCCCCCGTGTGGTTCTGGGAGTTTGCTCATGTTCTGGTGATAATTTTGACCCCCACGGGGTGAGAGTGAGATCTTGCGTGGAGCCCTACGATCGAGGGAGCTTTGGGATTATCAGTGTTGGTCTGTATGTCTTCCATTTCCTATAATTGCTCCCACAGTTGATTTCTTCAAACCAAGTGCTTACCTATTGCAGTCAGATTCAGTATTCCCAGCATGGTGCAGGTCTTACCAATTTTGTTTTATGGTGTCTTTGACAGCGCTTTGGTCTTGGCCATAGTGGTGGAGTTTGGAGTGGACTGTTTGAGTGGTTGTGGACAGGTTGCCCGTGTCTTATACTATAACAAGGTTTTCAACACAGGCTGCAATTAAGTTAATACAGGTTTAACGAGTGGAGGACAGACTTTTTGTTTTGTTAGCCCTCTTAAAAGAAGACGTGACATGTCTTGTGGAGCCAGAAACATCTAGCTGTCCCCCCTCCGCTAGGTGGACCCAATACTTAATTTACACCATAATTGCAAAAATAATAATTCATAAAAAATCCTACAATGTGATTTTATGGATTTTCTTTTCTCAATTTGTCGGTCATAGTTGAGTGACCTATGATGAAAATTATAGGCCTCTCTCATCCCCCCCCCCGTTTAAGAGTGGGGAGAATTGCCCCACAATTGGTGTTTTGTGCACTCAAGTACTTTTTTCCCCCCCCACGGTATATAGCAACAATATAAAGTGCCAGAGTCCTAGCATTGACCCCTCTCTTGGTAGTTGGCGGCTGTTCAACCATTAAAAGCATCAAACTGTCCACCCACCCGTAGCAAACCATGATATAACAACTAAGCAATCACATTCTAAGTAGTATGCTTTATGTGGATATTCGAACAGGCACGAACTCTCTCCTCTATCTGTTCTCTCCTCTATCTATCTATCTATCATCGCCTCTGTCTCTCATCGCTGCTTCTGTTTCTCCACAGAGTCTGCTACTCCAAGACCTTAATGACAGCCCGTGTGAACACTCTCATGGTGGCAGAGAGTGAAAGAGGAGATCTGGAAAGAGAACGAAGGCCTAGGAACAAGGACTGAGACTGGACAACTCTGACGGTTATATTTTATACGTCAGTCAAACACTCACGATCACTATTATCTTGCACACACTATTAACATGCTACAGACACACTTGCCAACTCTGACAGTCAGTTAGGTAGTTAGTTAGTCAACAATCACCAAAACACACACATACATAGTTCACCCTCCCCCCCCCCCAAAAAAAATATTATGGTAAGGAAACAAATGTATAGGAAATTTGGTCTAATTTATTTAGGACAGGGGGTGGCAAACAATGGCCCACGGGGCCCGGAATCCGGTCTCTCTTCCCACTAGCCATTCAATGGCACACAGGCAGGATAGTGTGAGTACAGTTTTTTTAAATATATTTTGGGTTTTTAAAAAAAAACCAGGCCACGCTTATGGACAAGTCTAAACTAGATTTTTTTAAAGATGTAGGAAAATTAATGACTATATATTTACAAAATAACTGTACTTTGTTGGCCCGCACAAATTGCCCCCTAAAAATACTTGTACCCCCCTTTTTATCCCCCATTTCGTCATATCAATTCGATTTGTCTCCTCATAGCTGCAATGCCAACTCCCAACGGGCTCGGGAGAGAGACGAAGTTCGAGTCAGGCCGGTCCTCCGAAAATACATGACCGCCCCCAATACCGCGTCCGTAACAACAGCCCGTTAACCCGGGGAGCGAAAGCCACCACGCCCGCACCAATGTGTCCGGAGAAAGGAAAACAACCCTTAAACTGACAACCGAGGGTCAGCCTGCAGGCCGCCCGGACCCGCCACAAGGAGTAGCTAAGAGCACGATGAGCCAAGGGTAAATAAAAGCCCCCCCCCGGCCCAAAACCCTCCCCCTCCCCCGGACAACGCTGGGCACAATTGTTGCGCCGTCCTATCCCTCCTATGGGACTGCGGTCACGGGCCGGTTTGGTTCTTTTACCCCCCTGGTGGTGGTTGTGATTTGGCCCGCCGTTGTTCTTTTTGACACAGCCTGGGATGGGAAAACCCAGGTCTGTTACTTTTTTACCCTGACCCTACCCCCAAAGCACCTTGCGATGCAACCTGCCTTCCATTAGCTTAGACTGGCCTCACGCGCCCACTCGGGAGGCCCGCTGAATTTTGGTTTATCCCGATTATGGCCCTCGAGCCCCAAAATGATACTTCATTTTACCCATATCACTGCTTTAGAAGGGCTCTCCACTAAAGTTTGTGCAAAACACCATAAAACTTAATGTGCATCATATATTGCATTCTGATGCTGCAAAGCTGTCATTTAACAGTATAACAATAGTGCAATAATGCATTGCCAACCTCTTTCTTGGCCCTGTGAGCTTCCAAAATGTCACAGTGATAATGGGAGCACAATCAATACAGGGGCCAAGGGAGAACGGAAAGGAAGGCAACAACTCAAACTTCTCATCTCTAACGTTACGCAAGGTCCCTACAGGGAAGAGCACCATCAGTGGACAGGCCATTTTGAAAGTATATGCTTGGAGAGGGGAGCGCAGTGGGAGGGAAAGCT